GTTCCATTCAAAGGCACATACCTTGGTTGTGGTTCGATTCCCAGTCATGGTTGGGGTTGTGGAGAGGCCACCAATCGATGTTTCTCTCTCTCTCTCTCTGTCTCTCTCCCCCTCCCCTTTTATCTGAAGATCAATGGAAAAATATCCTTGTGTGAGGATTAAAAGAATAAATAAGTACTTCTGTCCCGGCTGATGTGGTCAGTGGCTTGAGAATCGTCCTGTAGTCCGAGAGGTCCTGGTTTGATTCCTGGTCAGGGCATGTGCCTGGGTGTCTGGCCCTGCAGGAGGCAGCCCATCGTGTCCCTCTCTCACATTGATGTTTCTCTTTCCCTTCCTCTCTAAAAAGTCAATAAAAAAATATTTTTAAATAAGTACTTCTGTAAAACGGAACTAGTACTTTTACTAGGCCTGATTTATCTGAAGTTAAACTTTTTTTTTATCCTCACTTGAGGACATTTTTGCATTTACCCTCAGATAGAGAAGGGGGGAGAGGGAGGAAGAGGGAGAGAGAGAAACATTGATGTGAGAGAGACACATTGAGTGGTTGTCACCCACACGACCCCAACTGGGGCGGGGACAAACTGAAACCAAGGTACGTGCCCTTAGCAGGAACCGAACCCAGGACTCTGGTTTGCAGGCCGACGCTCTAACTGCTGAGCAAACTGACCAGGGCAGACTTAATATTATTATTTTTAATATGTTGTTATAATGATGCTTATTGAGTGCTAAAGGCAGTGTCCTAAGTGTTTAATCATTTCTTTTTTTTTTTTTTTTTTTCTATTTTATCCTCACCGAAGGACATTTTTTGCATTTATCTTCAGATAGAGCGGGAGAGAGAGAAGGGTGGGGAGAGAGAGAGAGAGAGAGAAACATTAATGTGAGAGAGACACATTGAGTGGCCGCCACCCACACGACCCCAAATGGGGCCGGGAACAAACTGCAACTGAGGTACGTGCCCCTAGTGGGAACTGAACCTGGGACTCTCAGGTCTAAGGGTCGATGCTCTAACCGCTGAGCCAAACTGGCCAGGGCCAAAGTTAAACTTTTAACAAATATTTTATGTCCTGTACTTACTGTTGTAATACTATGTATGTTTGCAAATGATTGTGTTGGTATTTTGGGGATCTTTTTGGAGGTCAGCGTTTAGGAAACACTGATTTGACGTAGGTATGTCAGGAATGTTGGCATCGCACAAATAGGTTAAACGATTGTAATTTCTGAATGGAGGAAACACTTGAAAGGCTGCTTTTAAAATCTAGGTGGACAGAGTTTTTGGAGGGAGAGATTGGACGGGGAGCCTGCAGAAGAAGGGTGGGGGCAGTTGTTCCAAGTTTGGACCGAGGACTGTGGGAGAACTCACAAGACCCTTCCAGCAAGTCCAAGGGGACTTCCTCTTCCCACTACGTGCAGTGACCACACTTTCCTTTTTTTTTTAAATCTTCTCCCGAGGACATTTTTCTCTTTATCATCAGGTAGAGTGGGAGGGAGGGAGAGAGAGAGAGGGAAAGAGAGAAACATCGGTGTGAGAGAGACACATCGACTGGTTGCCTGCACGACCCAACCAGGGCCGGGGATTTACCGCAACCAAGGTACGTGCTCTTGACCGAAATCAAACCCGGGACTCATTGGTCCACGGGCTGATGATTTAACCGCTGAGCCAAACTGGCCAGGGCTGTTTTTTTTTGTTTTTTTTTTTTAAATCGTCACCCGGGGATACTTTTTTCCATTTTTATTTTAAGATAGAATGGGGAAGAGAGAGAGAAACATCCATGTGAGAGAGACACATTGATTGGTTGCCTCCTGCCCGACCCCGACCAGGGCTGGGGGACGAACTACAACCGAGGTGCAGGCCAACGCTCTACCGCTGAGTCAAACCAGAAGGGCTGATTTTTTTTTAAGGGGACATCTATCTCTTCTTACTGTCTTTCCTGTCATCTGTGGAAAGATTTAAACATTAAACATTAAAAGTGGGAATTTTTGTATCTCTGAAGGGAAACCCTGTGCTCTAGTATGAACCTCAAGTGATACAATTATCCATCTCTTTAAGGAGTATGGTGTTATTCTCTCTGTTCACAAAGTCTTGTCACTAAGTTTTCTTTTTTATTTTTTTTTTAATCCTCACCCGAGGACATTTTTTCGATATTTTGTTCAGATAGAGTGGGATGGAGAGAGAGAGAGAGAGAGAAACATCGACATGAAAGGGACACATTGAGTGGTTGCCACTCACATGACCCAACCAGGGCCGGGGACAAACTGCAACCGAGGTACGTGCCCCTAGCAGGAACCGAACCTGGGTCTTTCCGGACTGCAGGCCAACGCTCTTAACCGCTGAGCAAAACCGTCCAGAGCACTAAGTTTTCTTGATTAGCAGATTTTTAGCAGTCAGAGCTTTTGATTTTATAAACATTTAAATTTAACTTTCTGTATTTGAATTTTCACATGTTCAGTAACATTTATTGAACACCAATAGCACTGTTTTATGAAGGTTGTTGTACTTTTTAATTCCTCTTTGAAGACCATTTTTACATTTACATGCAGCTGGTGTCTCTCAATAGAGCCATATTAAGCCCTATTTGTAGGAGTTGCAAACTACTGTCAGCACTGTGATCAGGTTGGTCTCTTTCCCCGCAAAACTGCAGTATGTAAGATGTGACTATTGAATGAGGCTGAAACAAGCTTCCTGAAAGGTATGGATGTTTTGTTTATAATGAATACCTTTGAAAAGTGTCCATACAATGAAATACAGTATAATACAATACAATGAAAGATTAGATGTTAACAGCATAGTAAAAGGCAATGTAATTCTTATTTTGGTTTAAAATTATGAAGATAAACATTTTCTAACATTTTTTGACCCTTTACTTTGTAAATACCAGGCACATGTTTAAAGGTTTTTCCTGTGTTACTTTATTTAAGGCTCATAGTTTCCCCCTTTCACGTGTGCCTAGGGGTGTGGAGATGAACTGACACAAAGCCGCACAGTAGAGTCAGGGTCAAATCTAGGCAGTGCCCCGGAGCCTGCTTCCTCTCACGTCTACTTGACTGTGGTGTCACTGCTTTGAAAATGAGCATTGGCCCAGCTGGAGTGGCTCAGCGGATGGAGCGTGATCCGTGGACTGAGAGGTCTCAGTTCGATTCCAGGTCAGGGCACGTGCCAGGGTTGTGGGCTCAGTCCCCAGTGGGGGGCATGCAGGAGGCAGTTGATCTGTGTTTTCCTCTCACACCGATGTTTCTGTCTGTCTCCCTTTCACTCTTTCTAAAAAATCAATAAAAAATAAAAATGAGCCCTGGCCAGTTTGGCTCAGCAGTTAGAGCATTGGCCTGCAGTCTGGGGAGACCCGGGTTTGGTTCCCACTAAGGGCACGTACCTCGGTTGCAGTTTGTCCCCGGCCCTGGCTGGGTCGTGTGCGTGGCAACCACTTGATGTGTCCCTTTCACGTCGATGTTTCTCTCTCTCTCTCCCTCCCACTTCATCTGAACAAAATGTCAAAAAATGTCCTTGGGTGAAGATAAAAAAAAATAAAATAAAAATGAGCATTGGGCCCTGGCCAGTGTGGCTCAGTTGGAGTATTGTGCTGTACATCAAAAGGTTGTGGGTTCGATTGCCGGTCAGGGCGCACCGATGTCATGGGTTTGATCCTTGGTTGGGGTGTGTGTGGGAAGGCAACCCATCGGTGTTTTTCGCTACATCGATCCCCCCCCCCCGAAATCAATAAGCGTGTCCTCGCCCTCCGACTGGTGCTGGGATGCTGTGACCAGGAGTGCTCCTGGGCAGCGTGAGTCAGGCTGGATGGAGGGTCCTTAGAGGTGAAGGTGGGGGCCGGCCGGATGCTCCTTTAGAGTCAAGGCTAGTGAGGCTTTTTGCTAGAGGAAAGTTACATTCCATTCGTTAAAACTTAGTGTAAGAGCCCTGGTCAGTTTGGCTCAGCGGTTGGAGCATCGGCCTGCCAACCAGAGAGTCCTGGGTTCGGTTCCCACTTGGGGCACATACCAAAAAAACCCAAAAGAAACTTAGTGTAAGAAATTGTCATTTTTGCATTACAATGAAAATCTTTTGTATTTGTGATTTTAAGTCTTTCCATCATCCTAAAGGTTGCTGTTTTTTACATTTTTCAGATCTAGGTCTTCGTACTCGAAGAGCGTTGCTCTTTCTGCTCTGTGCTCTCTGTGGCCTGCTGACACTCTAGCAGGCGCCTTCGTCCACTTCATGTCCCTGGTACCAGGAGAAGGGGTGGGGGGGAAGTAGGTGGGGCAATGAGATAAGAGCTTGAAGGTGTGAACATTTTTACGAGCCAGACGTACTCCCGGTACTCCGGTACTCCCGGGACTTTTGAGACCTGACGAAAGCTGTGGCCCTTCCCAGAGAAGTCAGCAGCCATGTCCGTGTGCCGTTCGAGAGCCTCTGGTCTAAGCATAAAGTGTTATTCCACAGTCTAAAAAGGAAGTCTTCAAAATAAGTGTTTTTACTAGTGGCTCCGAAGGATGGGAGATCTTAGACTTTGAACTAGTGGGTGGCTGATTGAAGCTGCTTGGCACCCAGTCTGCCCTGAGGGAAGGAAGTCTCCTGGGGGAGCAGCAGCCTCAGCGAATGCATTTTACTTCCCTTTGGAAGACACTGAGTGTAGTCTTCTGTGTCAGCAAAAGACACCCCTCAGGGCATGGCCATCGGACTCCATCGAGGGGCTCATGGTGGCTCTGCTCATCTTCTCATAATCTGTACACGGGGACCTGTCATTACGATGTGCCTCGTTCTGCCTCTTGCACTTGTGCGAGTGTCTTAGGGACATCCTACTGACATAAAACCATTACCCTGATAAAGTCGTTTTTAATTTGTATCTCACACTTTACTTCAGTCTTAGAAACTACTACCCTGTGTTCTATTTTGTTTGACTGCTTAGAGATAATGTGTGATTTATGTAACCCACCGGGGTTTTAATTTAAAACAAGTTTTAAAATGTCAGAGTTATAAATTCTTCTGAAAACCTTTGCCTCTTCTCTAGGATTGGCAGCCACCGTTTGCATGTGATGTCGACAAGCTTCACTTCACCCCCCGTGTCCAGAGGCTGAATGAGTTGGAGGTAAGGTGTCCACTGCTGTCCTGGTGCCTGAGCCCCAGGGCTGCCGTGAAGAGGCTCCGTCCATCACAAGTCTAGTGGTTCTAGTGAGACTGAAGTATGGCAGATAGCTGATAATCATGGTAAAGAGAACGGCAATGAGTCCTTTGTAGCAAGCCAATTTTTATTAAAAACACTGATTTTGTCACTTGTTGGCCTATTCACTCATTGAAATTCTTCTCAATTTAGGTGAAACCACTAGAATTTAGGTTTTTGGAAAGAATGTACTTTGAGAACCATCTAAAGGAAATTCCTCAGCTTTAATTTACTTCCAAGTACAGATCTTCACTCCGGATTTAATGACACTTTAATTTACCAAGGATTGAGCAGGGGATTCTCTAAAGAGGTCATTTTCCTTCCGTCCCTGTGCTGCTGGGCCCTAAAGTACAGGCTGCATAAGGTTCGGGTACTGGTAGCATAGGAGGTGGGTTGTTTACAGTAATGTTTTGCTAATCTGGTTTTTGTATTCAACCAAGTGATTTTTTTTTTTTTTTTAATGCTAAGCAAACATCATTCTTAACTTAAATGGAACGTGTGCCCACTGGAATTCTGTGGACAATGGTGATGATAGGGTCTAGGGTATGTATTTTCAGGTTGAGCTTGAAGGATAGGAGATGGGCACTAAGTTTGAGGTCTTGGAAGGTCATTGGGAATATCTGAACACTGCTCTCAGTTCTGGTCTTTCTTAAGTTAAAACTTCTAAAATTCTGACATTTTACAAGGAAGGAAAAGAAAAATGACAAAACATTTTTAAATGAATTGTACGCAACGGTAATCTGTTAAAGGAATAACATTTAAATTTCCCTGGTTTTCTTTGATCTTTAAGTTAGGACTTATTAAAGCTTATATAGAATCACTGTGGCCCATCTCATTTTAGAGTTGTGCTGGAGCAGATAAGAAAATTTGTACTTTGAGAGAAGAGGCCTTTAAAGTCCCTAACTTGTAAAAAGGCTGGAGGGAGGGGAGCATGCAGAGATCACTTGTCGTGCAGTTTTGACCAGTAACAGCAGGTGTTTGCAGTACTTCTTCGGTGACTACTCCAGAGGCCTGCTCATGTTCTGCGAGGGTTTAATGGGTATTTAACTTTTTGCTGGCACATAGCAGGTGTGGAGTTAAATTTTTGTTGAGTTAATATTTAATTATTTAACCAGCTTTATTTTGTATATTTTTGGTAGTTTCTCTATTGAATTCAAGTGGTATTGCACTTAAATATTGGAAGAATTCCACAGGCATAGGTAAAATGCATAGGCAAGAGCTTTAAAATAACATTAAAACACAACTCTTTGTCATGTAGGCTCAAACCCGTGTAAAATTGAATTTCCTGGACCAGATTGCGAAGTACTGGGAGCTGCAGGGAAGCACTCTGAAAATGCCACACGTGGAGAGAAAGATCTTGGACTTGTTTCAGCTCAATAAGGTGAGAGGCGGTGGCCCTCTCCTCATTGAACAGTTGTCCTGACGGCATGGATGGATCTTCTTGCCGTAAAGCACAAACTCAGTGGTTTGAAATGTGTAAAATGAAATTCTTCATTTAGTTTAGTTCATTGGCTGTTATTTGGTAGGTCTTGAAAGTCTTGTGAAATATTTTTCTGCCAACTTTTTTTTTTTTTAATTTCACAATGGTCTTGTAAGATCCGCTCTCTATTTTATTACAGATAAGGCATCTGACACTAAGGGAGAAAAGTGACCAAGCTGAAAAGGCCGAGTCACGATTAGCACCTTAGCTCGAGTGTCACGGTGTCTGGGGCCTGCCCTGGTGCCACGCACGGCCGCCGTCCTTCTCCTTAGCTTGTGCGGCCTTTTGAGGGTTACTGATTGAACCTTTTCTTTATGAAGAGATTTCATTGTTAATCTAGTCTTTCCTCCCAGAAAATCTTGACTGCTTTAGGGAAGTGGTTTTTGGGAAACACAAAATGTTTATGGACTATGCTCTCAAAAGCGGTGTTTTAATTTTCTAGCTTAAAAACAATAGTGCAGCTCTGGCTGGGTGACTCGGTTGGAACGTCATCTCGTACACCAGAGGGTTGCAGTTCGATGCATAGTCGGGCACATACCTAGATTGTGGGTTTCATCCCTGTTTGGGGCATATACAGGAGGCAACTGATTGATGTTTCTCACATCAATGTTTCTCTCTCCCTTCCTCTCTAAAAAGGAAAAAAAACAATGAAAAATCATATCCTCTGGTGAGGATTAAAAAATATATTCCTAAAAAATACATATGGCCCTGGCCGGTTTGGCTCAGTGGTTAGTGTCAGCCTGTGGTCCCTAGAGACCCAGGTTCGGTTCCTGCTGGGGGCGCGTGCCTCGGTTGTAGTTTGTCCCTGGCCCTGGTTGGGTCATGTGGGTGACAGCCACTCGATGTTTCTCTCTCTCTTTTTCTCTCCCCCTCCCTCCCAGTCTATCTGAACAAAAAGTGGGAAAATGTCCTCATGTGAAGATAAAAATAATTAATAATAATAAAATATATATATATATTTCCTTTTGGCTTAGAAAATGTATTTTTAGCCCTGGCCGGTTTGGCTCAGCAGTTGGAGCGTCGACCTGAGGTCCAGAGAGACGTAGGTTCGGTTCCCACTAAGGGCACGTGCCTTGGGTGCAGTTTGTCCCTGGCCTTGGGTGGGTTGTGCAGGTGGCGGCCACTCGATGTGTCCCTTTCACGTCAGTGTTTCTTTCTCTCTCCCTCTTGCTGTATCTGAACAAAAAATGGAAAAAATGTCCCCTTGGGTGAGGATAAAAAAAAAAGAGAGAGAAAATGTATTTTTAAAAGATTACCTTAGCTAAGAACATTTTGTCTTTGGAATCATACCTAGGCACGAGGGAGTTAGAAGTGGTTTTCATATAGGTGTTTCTGATTTCTTTTAACAGTTAGTTGCAGAAGAAGGTGGATTTGCAGTTGTTTGCAAGGATAGAAAATGGACCAAAATTGCCACCAAGATGGGGTTTGCTCCTGGCAAAGCTGTGGGCTCCCATATCAGAGGGCATTATGAGCGAATCCTCAACCCCTACAACCTGTTCTTGTCTGGAGACAGTTTGCGGGTGAGTATTGGGGCTGGCCATAACCAGTTTTATTTCACTGCTTATTGGTTCATTGTCTCTGTGGGGAATGAAAGGGACTTGATTATATGTAGAAGACATTGTTTTGCGAATTATTCTTCCAGAGTTTTTTGTTGTTTTTGTTCTGAGAGCAACCATACTTAGGTGTTTGTTTTGGGAATAAGTAAGGTTGTAGAGGAATTAAATACCCCTTTGCTGTCAAAAGCTGGAACCTGTATTAATTTTCCTCTGCACGTTTCTTCCTCTCAGCGAGGAGCTGGTCTTGTCCACGTGTGTGGCTCACGCTTCTGCACCCACCTGCTGGGCAGAATGTGTTTCTGGTTGGCCCAGGGAAGCACAGTGTGTGGATGACTTGCCGACCTGTTCTGTTTTGCCAGATGTTAGAAATAGATTTTGTTAGATGATTTCTGGGTGGTGGTTTTTTGTCCTTCTGCCGTTCTCTGGATCCCTTCTACAGATGCTACAAGGAAAGAGCCAGTGTTGTTGGTGAGACTAGATGATGGTAATGGTTCCCATACAGCCAAGAGTTCTAGGAGATTACTATTTCAGTGTATCTTATTCCCAGTGTCGATGATATATACACAATATACCCTTCAGTAGTTGCATTTTGGAACCTGCTTTAAAAAATGCTTGTTGATGTTTGTGGATTCGTTTATGATGAGGTGGGAATTCATCTCAGATTCCGACGTCACTATGTTGTACTGGCCTTAAACACCCTCTTTCAACAAGCTTAGAATCAAAATATAAAGAAAAGCCAAAGCACGATGAGACTCTTCTCTGATGAAAACCAAAGTTATAAGTGTGGGCTGCCTAACCTGTTAACCTTTGCCTGTGGACTAGACTACATAGGAATCCCTAGTAAAGGAGAAGACTTGAGTCAGATGAGCTGTCTTCTCAATTCAGGTGATACCTTTTAGTAACAGAACATTGCCACTTAACCTATAGGATTTCAAATTTTAAAAACCTACTGGATTCTATATTTTGTTAATCTAAACACTTTTAAGATATGAAATATTTTCAGTATGGGAAATTAATTTTTAAGGGACCTTTTTTTTAAATTGGACATTTGATTAATTGACAATTACAAGCAAGGATAATTACAGCCGACTCACTGGGAATGCCTTGAGCCTGCTGTAACCTGATCAGCAATTAAATGAATTGAAGCAATACCATTCACTTGCTAAAAAAATTTTGTGGGGTACAGTCCGGAAGAAATGGCTCCTCAGTTTACAACACACCCAAGAATTCAGGGTCATTGTGACAAGGGACACAAAACTTGTGGCTTCCTGTGAACAAACACACACCCTATATGTGTCCCCCCTGTACCTGTACCTTCTCACGGCTGCTGGTCAGAACTGATGGGATAGGGCTCAGTGTTGGAAGAAAAGCGGTCGTCTTTAGTTGGGTGGGGGGATTTCTATCTAGAGCTTGTCCAATTAAAAAAATTTTTTTGAGCTGCTATACCTGTGTGCGCGCGTGTGCGTGTGTGTATGTATGATTGCCACCTGCAGGCTTGTGTTTGTGTTTGTTTAGATTTTAAAAATTGTAGGCCTGTTAATGTATGTACATAAATAATTGTTAAATATACCTTTAAAGAGGTCAGTAAGCCCTGGCCGGTTTGGCTCAGTGGTTAAAGCGTCGGTCCCCTGACCAAAGAGTCATGGGTTTGAATCCGGTCAAGAACATGTACCTTGGTTGCAGTTCATTCCTAGCCCTGGTTGGGGTTCTGTGGGAGGCAACCAGTCGATGTATTCCTCTCATGTCGATGTTTCTCTCTCTCTCCCCCTCTCTATCTCCCTCCCTCCCACTCTAGCTGAAGATAAATAGAAAAATATCCTTGGGTGAGGATTAGAAAAAAAGGTCAGTGAAGTTGTTTAAGATTAAAAAAAGATGGGAAATCCACCAGTACAATTGTGTTTATTTCCAGTGTCTGCAGAAGCCTAACCTGGCCACAGACACGAAGGACAAGGAGTACAAGCCGCACGACATTCCCCAGAGGCAGTCTGTGCAGCCCGCAGAGACCTGCCCCCCAGCCCGCCGAGCCAAGCGCATGAGAGCAGAGGTGAGAGTTGCGCCGTCCGACGCTGGGACTCTCCTCCGCAGCTTGCCCTGTCTCCAGCCCTGCGAGCCTTGCACAGGGTGCCGTGTGTGTTCTAGCTTTTACGTTTGGGGGAACTGGGATGTCAGAAGGGTGAGGAATCCAAGAACCCGTGTAGGTTCCTGCTGCCTGGACAGACACCTGCCTCATTGTTAACGGAGCCCTGGGAAGAAAAGGCGCTCACTGATGTGTCTGGTCAGCTGGTCACCCTCGTGAATCAGGCGGTGTTTACAGGGGTTAAGGCTAGGAGGCGTGAGGCTTGGGATTTTTGCTGAGAAGAACTTTTTTTTTAACAGATTAGAAGATAGTGAAAGCTATTTTTCTCATGTTTCCTCAAAAGGAATGTGGAATCTATGGCAGTCATTGGTGCTAAGACAAAAAAATCACACAGCGTTGGGAGAGGGGGAGTATTGAATGAACATGTAAGATGAAATAAACATGAAACACGGGAGGTTGGGGCCTGTCACTCGAACACTTTGCTGCTGGGAGAGGGAGAGGTGCTGGGCCTCACCTCAGGGGGAGGCCACGGGTCCCTGGCTGGACGGGCACCTGGGGTGTGAGGAGTCAGTGGTGCGTAGAGTGCGAGGGGCGTGCGACCTGGGGAGGCTCTGCACTGGTGATTCCCAGCTAGTCTCCGGTCATTAGTGATTGTGGGTGAGAATGAAAAATAACCATTTTGTTTTCTGATGAAACAAGTGAGTCAGAGAACTGTTTTTACTTAGATAAGATGGAGATAGGAAGAATCCTCGTGACTCCATTTTTCTGAATTGAGATGGCCTCAGAATAGGAAAATGTGGTTATTTGAAGCCTGTTAGTATGCGTAAAATTAAAGTTTCATTAGTCTAAAAATAAGTTCTCGTTTAGACACATCTTGGTCTTTAAATGTTTAAGACATGCCCTAGTCCTAGGTCTGCCTTAATGACACGCAGTGGTGGCGATAATCGCCCTGGAAGAAATTCTGTGAGCAGCGGACATCCTGAATGTGCATGGACAGACACGGGGAATGTGATCAAGTGTCGTTCACAATTACAGACCACAAACATTGTTTCACTTTATCAATAAGTATTAGCACTTGGAGAATTAATGGATGTGTGTCAACTATGAGTGAACAGTGATGGAAATGGAGACTGGCTCATGTCCCTCGGCGATAAGGGAATCCTGAACGGTCTAGCAGCGTCAGAAGAGTAGTGTATAGTGAGCTGATTAAAAGAATTAATAGAAAAACGGAGTTTTCCACAAACACTGACAGACTTTGGAAGAAGCCAGGAAACACGTCCAGGCTTGTGGAGTCACTCTGGGGTGTCACTGCTCAGGGTCTGGCTTCGTGGTGACCGAAGCAAGAACTGGGAGAACAAGAGCTTGCTCACACTTCAGTCTTAAGGGTAGAGAGGAGGATATTTTGAATGTCCTATTAATAGAGTCAACTTACAGGATTATAGTCATCTTGAGAATCCAGTTGGATTTTAGAAGATGTATTTGTTTTTAAAGGAAATATTTATGTATATGACAACTCTTTTTAAGGCCATGAATATTAAAATAGAACCAGAAGAAACAACAGAATCCAGAACTCATAATCTGAGGCGTCGAATGGGCTGCCCAGCTCCCAAGTGTGAAAATGGTAAGAAATTTTATCTGTCAGTAGGATGGTGGTGAAAGGAGATACATTTTTTAATTAAGAAAACATGGGAGCAGTTATTACCTTGTAATCACTGGGCTAGGCTTTGAGAAGTAAATCTTCATACATCAACGTCCTTCAAATAGTGCAGTGTGACCCAGAACAGGAGTGAACAGAGAAATGTGGGCACATTATTGGGCGTGGGATTGAGTTGTACCTTCAGTGTGGCTCAGCAGCCTCCATCGAGAAGTGGTCAGTGAGAGGCATTGGTGTCTCGGACTGACTGACACGTTTATTTCAGCTTCGCAGGCAGACCTGCCTTCTGAACTTGAGCTGTAGTTGAGATTGCTTGATGTCGGTTTGGGACTCTCAAGAGAAATTCTGTATCCTGTATAGGCAGGCTCATACAGATGAAAGAGTCACTGAGATTGGTTGTTAGTGATTGGTGAGTTAGCCAAAGATGGCACAGTATAATGAAGTAGTTTTTAAAAGTACAGATCTGCCCTGGCCGGTTTGGCTCAGTGGTTGTGTCGGCCTGCGGACCAGAGAGACCCGGGTTTGGTTCCCGCTAAGGGCACGTACCTTGGTTGTAGTTTGTCCCCGGCCCTGGTTGGGGTCGTGTGGGTGGCGGCCACTCGATGTGTCTCGCACATCGATGTTTCTCTCTCTCTCCCCTTCTCCCCCATCTCCCTCCCTCCTGCTCTGTCTGATGATAAATAGAAAAATGTCCTCGGGGGAGGATTAAAAAGGAATAATATTAATAAAAGCCTACAAACCTGAGCAACCTCTCAAGTTTGCATTTTGTCACAATCAGTTGAACATAATAACTGGGTGCTACTGCTGCTACAGTGCAAAGAAACGTGATGTATGTCTGTCCTGTGTGTGTGCTGGGAGGGAGGTGTGAGGTAAGGGAGCTGAGAAAGAACAGAAAGAGCGAACATGGATTACTTCTTGCAGAGAAAGAAATGAAAAGCAGCATCAAGCAAGAACCCATTGAGAAGAGAGAGCACGCTGTAGAAAGCGAGAGGGAGAAGCCTAAGAGTCGACCTAAGAAAACCACCAGTGCTGTGAGTAGACATCTTTCAGCACATTTATCCCAAGTTTATACTTTTATTTTTTTAATTCTCACCCGAGGACCTCCTTGCATCTGTTTTCAGATAGGGAGGGAGGGAGGAACACCAACGTGAGAGAGACACATTGAGTGGTTGCCACCCACATGACTCCAGCTGGGGTTGGGGATGAACCACAACTGAGGTACGTGCCCTTAGCGGGAACCGAACCCAGCACTGTCCGGTCAGCAGGCCAATGCTCTAACTGCTGAGCCGATCTGGCCAGGGCCCCAAGGTTATACTTTTGTGCCTTACTTGGGACTGCTTAGCTCAGTGTCTGACAGTGAAAAGACCTTTTCAAGTCGGTTTATGGCATCATTTATAAGTGAGGAGGTGCACGGATGCCCGAGGAGGAGAGCAGGAGCATCGGGCACTGACGGCTGCTCTGGACAGTTGAGCACTGCCTGGCACAGTGAGCTGGGTGCCACACAGACTTGCTCATGTATCACAGGCTCACCTCCAAATGAGCTGAAGGCCAGATCAGAAATCAAGCGGATGGCCTGGCTGGTGCGGCTCAGTGAATGGCGCGATGTCCCATGGACTGAGAGGTCCCAGTTCAATCCCCAGTCAGGGCAGGTGCTCAGGTTGTGGGTTCAATCATCACTAGAAGGCAGCTGATTGATGTTTCTGTCACATTGATTTTTCTGTTTCTCTCCCTTTCTCTCTCTCTAAAAAAATCAATAAAAACATATTCAAAAAAATCAAGTTGATGTTTTCCAACTTTCTAGCTAGGAAGGAGAAGGGAGAGGAGTGGAGAACAGGTCTTGGCAGTCTGTCACCGAAGGGGGAGTGTGTCATTTGAAGCAGTGGAGGGGCTGGATTATACCTCCGATTCAGTTAATTCTTAGAATTTCACAGTCGGATGGGAGCTCATGTCCTCTGTTCTGTGCCATGTCCATGGCTGCAGGTGGACCTGTACGTCTGCCTCTTGTGTGGCAGCGGCAGCGATGAGGACCGCCTCCTCTTGTGTGACGGGTGTGACGACAGCTACCACACTTTTTGCTTGATCCCGCCCCTCCACGATGTTCCCAAGGGAGACTGGAGGTGTCCTCAGTGTTTGGCTCAGGTGAGAATGAACAGCAGAGGTGGCGTAAGAAAAGTCAGAGTGTTTTCCTTTGCTTTGAGACTTAGTCTTGGGAATTGACGATGATGAGGTCCTTAGGGAAACTGGGTTGGCTCTCAGTGGAAAGGGGCTTGGACATGCGGCCGCAGCTTTGCAGGGGCCAAGAGGCAGAACCAGGTCTAATAACTGCACTGGAAAGTGTTCTCATTAACTAAACACTGTGCTCGGCAGAAAATCGTAAACACGGAATGACTATTAATACTTTGATGTATGTTCATCCAGGCTTTTTTCTATGTTAAATTTTAAATGAATGGAATTATGTTATGTAAGCAATTTTAGGAATCTGCTTTTTTCATCCATATAGGTAGGTAGGTAGGTAGCTAACTAGCTAGCTAGCTAGCTAAATAAATAAATAAATAAATAAAATGTGTCTTCTCTTTTTCCTTCTCATTTTGGTCAGGAGTGTAGCAAGCCACAAGAAGCATTTGGCTTTGAACAAGCAGCCAGAGACTATACCCTTCGTACTTTTGGGGAAATGGCAGATGCATTCAAGTCTGATTACTTCAACATGCCAGTCCACGTATGTACATGCATACTGCTTTGATTTAGGGTTTTAATAACTTGGAAAAGGTGGGTCTGGAGACAGATTTGAGATGGGACTTACCTGAGAGAGTGCACAGTGAAGCCTTTAATTTGTTCCATGGATTAACATTCCACGGGCTTTAAAATGCATTCCAGTTTTTTATTTGATTTCTCTAGAGATGGGTTTTCCCGCACAAATTGTACCACAACAGCCCAATATTAATGTACGAAGTCTCCAGTAATTTAAAGAAAACTTCACAGAATTTATTGAATGACCTCGTGTGTCACTTACAGTGTGTGCATTGGAACACATTTACATTTTGTTAGGCTGTTGTGAGTTATTGAAATTCGGGTTATTCACTGCGAAGCATGTTGTATTCAGCACTTATCATCCCATGAGCACATCAAAATTAACGGTTTTCTACCATGATGCTGGCTACGCACTGCGAACGGGAGTGCCACAGGAAACACTGCCTGCGTGTGGATCTTGTAGCTGGATTATATACTTGGGGTGATTACTGATGTCAGATGAGAGTAATGCATTTTCTCCCACTCTGACCCCTACATCACATGCGGGCCCTCAGCAGTGTCTGAGTGAACCTGTTTTCCCTGCCATCACTAACATTAGCTGTTGTTACTTCAAATGCTTCTTGTTATAATGGGATTAAGATCCAGATGACGCTCTGTGACTTCGCGGCTCTTTGGACCCTTGTGCATTATTTCCCAAGCCTTTGCTCTCCCAGTCCTGGTGACTGTACATGACCTATCCCAGCTGCGGCTGGCTCTGTATCTTACTTAAACATGAGGACTTTCGAGGGTGGCCATTGAAGTGACTTGCTCTGGACACAGACTCACCACAGACCTGGGACCCAGTGTGGTGGCCCCGTCCTGCAGCTGCAGCCATCGTTGTTCTCGTCTGTGCCCTGTGCATCCTCTCGTGCGTGGTGCTCAGCCAGGGTGGGGAGGAAGGGGCGGGCGGGCTCAGCTAACGTGGCTGAGCACTGAGTCATCATCCAGGCTCAGCCAGCCGTATGGCTCTTCTCTCAGAACAGAAAGACATCTCCAGTTCTTGAGTGGCAGTGTGCTGCTTTCCTCGAACCCCTGTGCCAGTAGTGGGCAGGTGGTGGTAGGAAACACTAATTCTTAGTCACTTATTACTCTTTTAGTTATTAAATACCTTTTGAAAATAATGTTCCCTTCTGAATGAACGGCCTGGAATCAATTGTGCAACATAATAGAGATGATGTTCTTTAGGGTGCTGTCCTGTGATTCCTGTCACTTAGCTTATCTAGCCGGATTGTCATTGGCATTTTATGTCTGAGGAAATGCATTTTTTGCTCTTGTTAATGGTTTTGTTTCCAGATGGTTCCCACAGAACTGGTTGAAAAAGAATTTTGGCGCCTGGTGAGCACCATCGAGGAAGACGTCACGGTTGAATACGGAGCCGACATCGCCTCGAAGGAGTTTGGCAGCGGCTTCCCTGTCCGAGGCGGGAAGGCCCGGCTTTCCCCTGAGGAGGAGGTAGGTGCCAGTGGGAGTCACCTACATTTTGAAGGGACCTGACAGTTGAACACATCCTTGACCTAATGGGCGTAATGCTGGATTAGTAGCAGCCTTAACTGCAAAAAGTACATGTAGCTTGGAACTTGTGTTATTTATTCAGTTTCCATTTTGTTGCCTTGAAATGATTTATGGTTAATTTCAGAAAAATCTTTAATTATCTAGTTTTTAATGATTTCAAGAAAACCCACAGGAGAATTCCAGTCCCAGCGGTGCCTCTGCATTGTGACGACGTAGGGAAGTTGCGAGCCTCCCTTGGCCTCAGATTCTCTGACATTGTTTCTCTCTGAAGGAGATCTGAGCGATTGGGACCAGCCTGCTTGTCTTTGAACTGGAAGGTTTGAGTCCATCATTCCCGCACTAGTAGGCTTGTGGAAAGGTTTCCGTTCCCATCCTAGTGAGAAGGCAGGCTTTTTTGGGGGAGGGGTAAACTTTCTTTGAATCTAACATATGCACAGGAAAGTACACAATCATATGTATACAGCCTGATGATTTTCACAAACAATACACTGTGTAACCGCACTGGAAGAACCTGGACAGTGCCGCACTCCCTGGCCGCTCCCTCACTACCTTCCCTGTCCCAGGACAGCCACTGCCACCCCAGCCTCCAACAGCACTGTCCTGACTTGTAACGCCATCAACGAGTTTGCCTCTTTTTGTTAAACTTTATATAAACCGACTCATATTGTCTGTACTTTTCTGTAGCCAAATAAAAAGCAGATGCAAAAACGTGCACTGTGAGCCCATGTATGTATGTGTGCTGTATGAGTCCAGGTATATAGGAATGCTCTGTGAGGCCACGCGTGTACGTGTGCTCTGTGAGGCCAGGTATATACAGCTTAAAGGGGCAGAAGTCACACAGTGACCCCCCCCCAACATTTTTATTTTGAAGGAGACTATTTTCACCCATCTTTTTGAAAAAATTCTAAAATGTTGGCATGACACGGCTAAACCTTTATACTTTTTTTACGTTCATATTTTTAGGAATATCTTGACAGTGGCTGGAATTTGAACAACATGCCCGTGATGGAGCAGTCTGTCCTTGCTCATATCACCGCTGACATCTGTGGCATGAAGCTGCCCTGGCTGTACGTGGGCATGTGCTTCTCCTCGTTCTGCTGGCACATTGAAGACCACTGGAGCTACTCGATCAACTACCTGCACTGGTGAGACGCTCCCGGAGCTGAGGGGTGACGTTCACGCTTTTGGAAACTGCCCGTCTCAGAAGTGTCCTAACTTTTTTTTATCCTCACCCGAGGACATTTTTGCATTTATCTTCCGGTAGAGTGGGACGGGGAGAGGGAGGAAGAGAGAGAGAAACATCGATGTGAGAGAGACACATCGAGTAGTTGCTACCCACACGACCCCTACCTGGGCTGGGGACGAATTGCAACTGAGGTACCTGCCCTCAGCGGGAACTGAACCCAGGACTGTCCAGTCCATGGGCCGATGCTCCAACTACTGAGCCAAACGTGCCAGGGTAGATATTTGGACTTTTAAACTCTTAAACCAAAGCCATTTTTCTCGAATGTGCCCGCCCTCCATTTCCCTTCTTTTCTAAGTACAAAAATATTTGAAAATCTGTAACTCACTTAAACCACAACACAAGGAATTGAAGGATGTACCACAGAAAGAGGTAGCTGTCATATGTTTGTAGAGTATCTGTTCTGCTTCCCTAGCAACTGTCCAGGCTCTCAGCTGTAAACTGAGGATTGCATTTACTGCACCTCACAGGGATGTTACAAGTTCATTGGTTGACAATTTAAAGTGCTTTTAAGAGTAAGAGCTCTTTAGAGTTGCTAATTACCTTATTAGTGTTTGACTTAACCTTAGCTGTAAGACTGGACCAGGGAAACGGAGGGTGGAGAGCTGCCATTCCTCGTCAGACTAGGACATTGGTAACCATGCATCCTGTAGCTAACTTGGTACCTGATTCTCAGAAATTCTAGAGTCCTGCATTTTCCCAAGGAACAGACCAAAGTGGAGAGAGAGGACAGGGACCTCAGATAGAAAGCCCCATGTTTGCCCTGATGCCTGAAGGGAAAAAGCATCGCACTCACTCAGGGCACACTCTTCAGCGTCAGCAGCCCCGTGTGGCCTGCGCCCAGAGCAGGCCTGACTGAGCTGCTGCCGTGGTGAGTGTCGGCGCTGCAGGTTGTTCTGGGCATGCGCGTGACTTGAATAAGCTACTGAAATGTCATGTTCACATATTCTTTTGAGATTTGTTTATTTTTGTAATTTATTTCCAGGGGGGAGCCAAAAACCTGGTATGGAGTCCCAGGGTATGCTGCCGAGCAGCTGGAGGATGTGATGAAGAAGCTAGCTCCAGAGCTCTTTGTGTCCCAGCCGGACCTCCTGCACCAGCTTGTGACCATCATGAACCCCAACACCCTGATGACTCATGAAGTGCCTGTATGTCTCCGTCGGCCCTCTTTCTGTGTTCCCCTGGGGCTCACTCACTGTCAAGTTGATTTGGTTATGTTTTCGATAGCCTGCCTTGCTGTACAAGCAACTGTTGGTGTGACTGGTACATATTGCACTGGGACTCCTCAGACACTATGCAAAGTAACTTGTTGCAGCTAATAACTAGATTGCCAAGCAGGCTTACTCTAAAAGTCACAGATGTGATGCTTTCTTTTCGTGTCCAATCCAGTGGTTTTTAGTCCATTCACAGGTCATGCAGCCGGTACCACTTACACAGTGATTTTTGTTTATAACTTATTCCTTCATTGTAACGAAGCAAAAACCTTGTAAAATACATGTTATTTGTCAGTATAAATTACTGTGAAAAAGGCAAGGTTCTTTTATAATTAGATCTGAACTCTAATGTCAGAATCCTTCATGTTTTGTTCCTACTCTAAACAATAATTTGTTGAACCTGTAGCATCTTATGTTTGGTAGATTTTGTTTCTATTAACCCCCAACTTTATTTTATTTTATTTCATTATTAAAGCTGGGGACAGTGAAACAAGGACGGACCTAGGATAAAAGAAGCAACAGGAGAACCTAGGAGGGGCTGCTCTGGCTCACTGGAAAGTCAGAGAAAGGGGCTTTGGAGACAGGTTCAGGGGTTTATTCGGGATGAGCTGCTAATGTCATTGCTTCTCTGGTTGCAAGTCTCAGGAAGAGCCTTAAGAGTTTAGGAGATGTACATCTGTGTACAAGAAAGGCATGGGCATCTTAAGCTTATTTTTTAAATTGGTTTTAGAGAGGAAGAGAGAGTGGTGGAGAGGAGAGAGAGAACCATCCTCAGTTGGTTGCCACCCGCATGAGCGCCAACTGGGGATCGAACCTTTGATCCTTCAGTCCATGGGGCAACGCTCCAACCAACTGAGCAACATTTAAACTGATTTTAAGCATTTTTAAAATCCTCACCCAAGGATATTTTATTATTATTATTATTATTATTATTTTTAGATGGGGGGGGGAGAGAGAGAAACACCGATGTGAGGAGAGACACATCAATCGGTTGTCCCCTGCATGATCGGGACCTGGGCCAGTGATCAAACCTGCAACCAAGGTGTGTGTCCTGGGCCAGTGATCAAACCCTCGACACTTTGGTTCGCACATTAACACTGACTGCTGAGCCTCGGCCTGCGGTCCTGAGAGACCCGGGTTCGGTTCCCGCTAAGGGCATCTACCTCGGTTGCAGTTTGTCCCCAGCCCTGGTTGGTTGTGCGGGTGGCAGCCGCTCAATGTGTTCCTTTCACGTCGATGTTTCTCTCTCTCTCTCTTTCTCTCTCTCTGTTCCTCTCTCTCCCTCCCGCTCTACCTGAACAAAAAATGGAAAAATATCCTTGGGTGAGGATAAAAAAAAAGAATTTATTTCAAGGTCTTGAGCTTGGAATTCAGGGTTCCTACTCTAATAGGTGCTGTTGGTGATATTTCCTCTGAAGTTTCTCTTAAGTGACACTTATTTGTATACTGGCTTGCTTTTGGAGAATATTTTGAAGATATTTGGGAGGCCAGGTTGAGATATATACGAGGTTGAATTAACCCATTTTAGCTAAATCGAATGTACACGATACATTTCCAGTGTTAAGTGAACTGATCTTACTGTGCCGTAAATTTTTATGCTTTGGTTCGTTAATGGGGGCAGATGGAAAATACGTTATTTGAATGATCATAAGATATTTATTGACCATAGCTTAGAAAATAATGACCGGTAACTACCAAAATACCACCATCTCCTCATTGTTGATATTTCCACATTGATTCCCCTACCCCCATATTGATTGATATATCCAATTTGTCCTGAGTAGCTTGCCCCAAACAATACCTCTGTCCCTGGCTCTTTAACAGTTGAGCAAACCATGCTGGGCTAGAGTCCTTACTTCCAGAGGAATGCATGTGTGCATTCGGGGACCCACCTTGAAGGGAAAAGGTGGATAATGGAATGTGGTTTGGTTTGGCTGTGATGTCGGGCAGGATGACCTGTAACCTTGGGAGAATCCGAGGCTCAAAATGACATTTGAACTGGAGCTTGGGGCTTTGATAAGGAATATGTCCAGGGGAGATATATATAATGAACATGTAAGGAAGAGTTGGAGGGGGAAGGATGGGTCCCTGTAGAAGGAGCTGGGCACATGTGCTAGATGGTGGTCTCCACACTGCCCAGTATCAGACCTGAAGGGCAGTTACAACACAGGGCTGAGTCTCACTCACCCCCAGAGTTTGCTGTTATTTTGATTTGGGTGGAACAAGTTCAGTCTGAGGATTTGCATGCCTAGAACAACGCAGGTGTTTTCTTGGGTGAGGATAGTGGGAGGTAAGTCTGAGCCCAAGTCAAGGAGAGCTTTATGTGGGATGAGATTCTTGAAGTAGAATGGAATTTCTTTCATTGGTAGGACATCTTGTTTTGGTTTAATATCACACGCTATTCTTAACCGTGGCTGCATTTAGAAAGCTGTGTCCTGACCCCGGATGTAGCCAAGTATTTTTTGTAGCGTGAGCCATGTTTTCTTTTCAGAGCCTAATCAGCCTCAGTGTTTGGGACACTGCTCCATACTGTGTTCTACCAGAGTGGTTTGTTGTTGTTTTTTTCTGGCTCACTTTTTTTTTCCCTCACCTGAAGATACTTTTCTGTTTATCATCAGATTGAGTGGGAGGGAGGGAAAGAGAGAGACAGAGAGAAACATCAATGTGATAAAGCCACATTGACTGCTTGCCTCCACGCAACCTGACCAGAGCCGGGGACTGAACCGCGACTGAGGTACGTTCCCTTGACTGGAATCGAACCTGAGTCATTGATCTGCGGGCCGACACTCTAACCACTTAGCAAAACTGGCCAGGGCTCTGGGTCACTTTTAATTGGTGGGAAACTACCCCTTCCGGAGAATCATCTGATAGTCTATGTCCAGATTGTCTTTTGTGAGAATGTCACTAAAACCTCCAATTCATCTCCTTAGGTTTACCGGACTAACCAGTGTGCTGGGGAGTTTGTGATTACGTTTCCGAGAGCCTATCACAGTGGCTTCAATCAAGGCTTTAATTTTGCTGAGGCTGTTAACTTCTGCACTGTTGACTGGGTATGGCACTATGACTTAGTGAACCTCTCCTGCAGAGCACAGAATGTTTTACAGACTCATGTATATAGTTGCTTAAAGCTATTGTCCCTCAAAAGGCTGGTCTGCAGATTGGTGACTGTCTGTGAGATCAGGCACTTGACCATGTGGTGGATCCGGCCTGTACTAACTAGCACGCTGCTTGGTGCAGCTGACACTTCTTTCTCTTGTAAAAGACTCGAAGAAAAGTGTCTGAGTCTTGATTTACGTTTCGGCTGAAGCTAAGTGTCTCATTGTGAACTGAAAACAGACAGTCCAGTCTTAAGACTGCTCCTTATTAAGCACTAGCTTGACTTGTCCACAGAACAGCAGTTCTCAATGACACATTTGCTTTTGAGTTATTTTGTTTTTGTTTTTTTTTTTTGTCCTCACCTGAGGACATTTTTCCATATTTTGTTCAGATAGAGTGGGAGGGGGAGAGAGAGAGAGAGAAACATCGATGTGAAAGGGACACATCGAGTGGTTGCCACCCACATAACCCAATCTGGGCCGGGGACAAACTGCAACCGAGGTACATGCCCTTAGCGGGAACCGAACCTGGGTCTCTCTGGACCGCAGGCCGATGCTCTAACTGCTGAGCCAAACCAGCCAGGGCTGCTTTGATTTACTTTGTAAAGGAGGGTTTTTATGTTAATATTAATACTTTTCATTTACCTAAAGACTGTCTGGTTGAAGTGTGTGCAGTTAAATCTAATGAATTATAATGTCATTCATTGTTTTTTGAAATATGATGCTACCTGCATCTGCAATTACTGTGTTGTTGTTTTGGAGCATTTCTGCTCCTTGAAGTAGGTTAGCCACACCCAGTTCAGCACAGTTGTTTCAGAAGATGTCGATTTGTATGCAGTTAGATTTCACATTGTTGTAGAGAGTAACGCATTGGCAGTGCATGGGTTTCTTAAACAGCCTTGTAATTAGGGCGCCTAACGTGCCAGGTCTGGGAGGTGCAGACACGGGAAGAGGCCAGGGCTCTCAGAGCTGGTGTGTGATGTGTGAGGCAGGGTGTGACCTGTGTGGTTCAGAGTGAGGGTGGCAGCTCAGACAGAGGACGGAGAGGTTGGCTCATGGCTTCTGTCCGACAGCTGCCCTTGGGCCGCCAGTGCGTGGAGCACTACCGCCTGCTGCACCGCTACTGCGTGTTTTCCCACGACGAGATGATCTGCAGGATGGCGGCCAAGGCGGCCGTGCTGGATGTCGTGGTGGCGTCCACCGTTCAGAAGGACATGGCCGTCATGATCGAGGACGAGAAGGCTCTGAGGGAGACTGTCCGGGAATTGGTAAGGTTTCTGAAACCCCAGTATTGTGTTATTGGTGTTACTTAGTCAAAGTTTTAGGCACTTTAATACCATTTTGAAAAGTAAGTTATTTCGTAGTCTAATTTCCTTTAAGACCATTTCTTTTTTTTTTTTTTATCCTCACACGAAGATATTTTTCTATTTATCTTCAGATAGAGAGGAGGGAGAAAGGGGGGAAGAGAGAGAGAAACATCGATTGGCTGCCACCCACACAACCCCAACTGGGGCTGATAGACAAACTGCAACCGAGGTACCTGCCCTTAGCGGGAGCCGAAGCCGGGTCTCTCTGGTCCTCAGGCCGGCCCTGTAACTGCTGAGCCAACCTGGCCAGGGCTGTCCTGCTCCTTTCTTATTGGATTTATTTATTCTGAACACAGTCTCACTAGATAGGTGATCTGCAGGTGTTTTCTTTCTGTTGATGACTTTTCATTTTCTTAGCAGTGTCCAATTTATCTGTTTGTTCTTTTAAGGATCTTTTTTGTGTGTTGTCATTAAGAAATGTTTGTCTAACCCAAAGTCACAAATATTTTCTCCTATGCAGTCATCTAGAACTCCTCGTTTTAAGTTTGTTTTTTATTCTCACCCGAGGACATTTTTTGCATTTATCTTCAGATAGAGCAGGAGGGAGAGAAGGGGGAAGAGAGACAGAGAAACATCGATGTGAGAGAGACACTTCTACTGGTTGTCACCCACATAGCCCCAACCCGGGCCGGGGACAAACTGCAACCGAGATATGTGCTCTTAGCAGGAACTGAACTCGGGACACTCTGGTCCACGGGCTGATGCTCTAACTGCTGAGCCAAACCGGCCGGGGCCTGGTTTTAAGTTTCATATGTAAGTCTTTATTCTAAATCATTTTTATTTATGTGGGGGTCGAGAGCACTGCATTTGCATATGGATGTTTAATCGCTCCAATGCCATTTCTTGAAAAGACTATCATTACGCTATCGAATTGCCCTGGTAGCTTTGTCGAAAATCAGTTCACCACATGTATATGGTCTGTTGTGGATTCTGTTCATTTGCATTTGTCCTCTTGCTTATACCATATGGTCTGGATTATAACTTTTTTTTTTAATCCTCACCCAAGGATATTTTTCTATTTATCTTCAGAGAGAGAGAGAGACAGACAGACAGACAGACAGACATAGACATCGACTGGCTGCCTCCTGCATGACCCTGACCAGGGCCTGGGATGAACTGACAGACAGACAGACAGACATAGACATCGACTGGCTGCCTCCTGCACGACCCTGACCAGGGCCTGGGATGAACTGTAACCGAGGTACATGCCCTTGACCAGAATCGAACCCGCAACTCATTGGTCTGCGGGCTGACCCCGCTCTAACTGCTGAGCCAAATGGACCAGGGCTAACTTTTTTATTCCTCCCCATTTTTTTTTTTTTTTTTTTTCCTCACCCGAGGACATTTTTTTTGTTTTGTTTTTTGTTCAGGTAGAGCGGGAGGGAGAGAGAGGAACAGAGAGAGAGAGAGAAACATCGATGTGAAAGGGACACATCGAGTGGCTGCCACCCCCAGGGCCGGGGACAAACTGCAACCGAGGTACGCGCCCTTAGCGGGAACCGAACCCAGGTCTCTCAGGACCGCAGGCCGACGCTCTAACCGCTGAGCCAAACCGGCCAGGGCTAACTTTTTTATTCCTCCCCATTTTATTTGTTTATTTAATTTTTGTTAATCCTCACCTGAGGATATTTTTATTTTATTTTTTTTAGAGAGAGAGACAGACATTGATGTGAGAAAGATCAGTTGGTTGCCTCCTTCCAACTGGCGCCAGGAATCAGACCTGCAACTCGGGTCCATGCCTTTGACCGGGAGTCGAACCGGTGATCTCTTGGTGCCTGAGTCGACACGCAGCCACTGACCATGCTGGGTGGCCTGTGTGCCTCTTTAGTTAGAACTCGAGAGTGTTGGCTCCCTGGAGCTTGTTTTGGATCAGTAGCAGTTTACTCTCCTTTCCCGATATTTTGCAGTTAGGACAACAACATCCAAAGGGTTTAAGTGTCTTTCTAAGGTCTTGTATTAGTAATGGTAGCTCAGTTTTGAAACTTTGAGAACTTAAATTTTTTCCAGGTGTAGAAAATTGCAAATTAAGATTGGGTGAACTATGTAAGATTCATTTTCAGCTAAAATCCATAGAGTTGATTCTAAATCTCATTTTAAACAAAAATGTCAAGCATCTCTATTGCAAACTCCTTTTTAATGATCAAGTCCAGATTAAACCCAAAATTTATTTTTAGCACTTTCCTCATTGTTCTCTGTTTTTGTTTGTTTGTCGATTAGCTGGAAGTGAAATGGTCAAAAGGTTAAAATACAGAGTAAGGCCCTGGCTGGCTGGTTCAGATGGTTGGAGCATCATCTTGATGCGCCAGGGTTGTGGCCTTATCCCTGGTCAGGACACATGCAGGAAGCAAATAGTGGATGCATGGATGAGTGGAACAACAGATCAATGTCTTGTCTCTCTCTCTCTCTCTCTCCCCCCCCCTTCCTCTCTCTAAAGTAAAATAAAATAATACAGAAGAAAAGAGTAAAACAGAGGAGCTTGATGGTTCATGAACTGACTTCATTCTCAAGGTTGGGTTTTGGTCCAGGTCTGGATCAGGAGAACAGTGAAGGTCTGATCTTTCACTGCAGAAATTGACTCCTGGGAGGTCTAGATGCCCAGTGGCGTGCGCTGCAGCTGACACTTTTCCATTAGGAAACGCTTTGTCACGACTTGAGTCCATGCACAAATTGTCTAACCCTCTCAGATGCTGGGATCCCTTCAGATAACGTCTCTGTAAAGGGCCAGGGTTCTTCGACCGTTGGGCATCGTCCCAGTCTCAGCAGTTCCTGCGTGACGGCCTCACACACCACATCTTCCTTCCCTTTCCTCGTCTCTGTCCTCTTGGACTTCCCAGCAGTATTGCTCTGAAGCCCATATGGCACGCTCTCTGAGGTGCGGCGTGTGTGCATCTCCTTCGCTCTTATCGATGCCCAAGATGTGGGTAAGGCCCTTGAGTAGAATCAACAGCTGATTTCTAGTTTTATCCTCCTGTTAAGCACTGTTTTCTTATATCAAAATGGCTGTTCACGAGGACCCAAGCTTGTCCAAGAGCAGGTCCTCACTGCACAAGTGAAGTAGTCTGACTCCCGTGTTTGCTCGGTCATTGTCACTGTGCGTTTCGCACAGTCTGAACCCTGCGCCCCCTGTCTGGTCCAGCAGCTGTGGCGTGTTTGTCGTGGGGGCTGGTTATCACGTCCTTTGGAGGCTTCTGAAGTGCACTTCATTCTAGGGCGTGATTGATTCGGAAAGAGTGGATTTCGAGCTGTTGCCAGATGACGAGCGTCAGTGCGTCAAGTGCAAGACCACGTGCTTCATGTCGGCCCTCTCCTGCGCCTGCGCCCCGGGTCTGCTCGTGTGCCTTCACCACGCGCAGGAGCTGTGTTCTTGTCCTCCTCACAAGTACAAGCTGCGGTGAGTAGGAAGGATGGTTTCTTCCTGTGGAAGACACTAAATCTGTAATGAAAGTTCAGTGACATCTCTGATCCAGGGCTGAGATGTTGAGTGTAAAACATCTGGTTTTCTCCAAACCCACATGTCCTGTTTGCAGGTATAGATACACTTTGGATGACCTCTATCCCATGATGAATGCATTGAAGCTTCGAGCAGAATCTTACAATGAATGGGCCTTGACGGTGAATGAAGCTTTGGAGGCAAAGATCAACAAGAAGAAAAGTACGTGGTACAGACAGTAGGACTGTCAGTGGGGTGATTGTCAGTGGGGACTAGTTGTAATGAAGCCACGTCAGTCAGCCACAGACGGGCCAAGGCCTTGTCGCCGTCTGGGCAGCCAGGCTCGCCGAGCACGAGAGGAGCAAGGTCAAGTCCGAGAGTGGGTGAGGCAGATGCTCACACACCCAAGTGAGTCTGCATAGAGCGGTAGTGCAAGACCGTGTGTTTAACAAAGACCTTGTTGTTAGGAAGTAGAATAATCTTTACACCTGTCTCAGAAACTAAAGTATTTCACCTTTGTGTGGAACCTTAGAAAAACTTTTTTTTGTAAAGGAGATCTGACCAAGGCAGCACATTCCTAAATCAGGGTCTCTGGAGGGCTGGTTGGTCACATCTTGTTCTAACCAGAGTCTCCCGGGACTACTTTTGAAAGCTATTGCTTCCCTCCCCATCTCGTTCAGTGTTTTCACGCCTGCCTTCCTGTGACCTCACATGGAAGTGCCCTCTGTGTTTTGGGGACGGGCGCTGCGTCACTGCCTATGAGTGTGCTCGCTGCTTGTCAGCTGCAGAATGAAAGGGGGGCGTCCAAGCCCAGGAAGAGCTTGCCCTCACTTTGTTCTGACAAGGCCGCTGTTCCCACGTGAGCACTGCAGGCTGAGTGCCGCCTGCTGAAGAGCAGCCACCACCGCACTGACGGTGCAGAGCGCTGCTCACGCTGACGGCGTGCAGCCCGGGCCTCCCCTGCTGCAGGAGTAGGCGTGGTGGTCACAGCAGAGGTGACCTTCCCTTTTTTTTTTTTTTTAATCCTCACCTGAGGATATTTTTCTATTTATCTTCAGATGGGGTGGGAGGGATGGGGGAAGTGACACACACACATCATGTGAGAGACACATTTCCCTGGTTGCCTCCACCGGGGACCAACTGCAACCAAGGTATGTGCCCTTGACCGAATTGAACTGGGACTCATCGGTCCGCGGGCCGACCCTGTGCCGATGAGCACACCGGCCGGCGGTGACCTCCTCTCTGCTCCTAGGCCTGGCCAGCTTTAAGGCTCTGATCGAAGAGTCTGAGGGGAAGAAGTTCCCGGACAACGACCTGCTGCGCCACCTCCGCTTAGTCACGCAGGACGCGGAGAAGTGCGCCTCCGTGGCGCAGCAGCTGCTCAGCGGCAAGCGGCAGACCAGGTGTGTGCCTGCGGCAGGCTCAGTGGGCCCCTTCCGCCCTGCGTCTTCGGCCCTGGGCTTGGGCATGTTGCATGTGCATGTTCTCATGGGCTTCCGTGTCCTTTGTCTTCAAAGATACCGATCTGGTGGAGGGAAGTCCCCAAACCAGCTGACAGTGAGTGAGCTCCGCCAGTTCGTGACACAGCTGTACGCGCTGCCATGCGTCCTCAGTCAGACCCCGCTGCTGAAGGTACCCGCAGAGGCTCTGGGAGGGCTTGGCAAGCCTGCGTCTCGTAAATAAATACACTTGATGTGATTGAGTTGTCTTCCGTGACATCAAGTTGCAAATGTTACTGATAACACGTGAGTGTTGTGCGTGTATAGGTTATAGCAGACTCAGAGTGGTTGAGCTGGGATCTGTACTTTGAAAGCAGCCACCAGCTACTCCTCACCGTTGGCTAAGGTCTCATTTCAGCATCATCTAGCTTATGCACTGTGTCATTTACACATACTGTTACTTCAATCCATCAAGATAAAAAAGGGCCCCATTGAAATCGCATTGAAGATTCTTGAGTACAAAGAAGCCAGTCACTGTTTTGATGCAACAACCTGTGTTTTTTAGGACCTCTTGAGCCGTGTAGAAGATTTCCAGCAGCACAGCCAGAAGTCGCTGTCGGAGGAGACGCCCAGTGCTGCCGAGCTGCAGGAGCTGCTAGACGTCAGCTTCGAATTCGACGTGGAGCTCCCGCAGCTCGCCGAGGTTCGCGTCCGCCTGGAGCAGGCCCGTTGGCTGGAGGAGGTGCAGCGCGCGTGCGCAGACCCCAGCTCCCTCACTTTGGATGATATGAGACGCCTCATAGACCTCGGGGTGGGGCTGGCCCCATACTCAGCAGTGGAGAAAGCCATGGCCAGGCTCCAGGAGCTGCTCACAGTGTCCGAGCACTGGGACGACAAGGCCAAGAGTCTCCTGAGAGCCAGGTGAGGAAGCAGGCTGGCACCTCCCATGGGGAGAGGGCGGCAGTCCCCTGGGCGCCGGGACACAGTGCTGGGCACGTGGCAGAGCAGCTGCTGCCTGTGCCTGCCGCGCACAGGTGAGGTGGCTGAGATGCTGGGGCTGCCTGGGAGTCCCGCGAAAGAAGATCAGTGTTTCTCACGTTACTGGTTGTGAAATGAATGATTCGGGCGGACATGGCTCCTCTAGAGTTTTTCTGTGTGATGCTGTCTTTGAGAGGAAACAAAAGGACAGGTAATGGGAACTGTTGTTTCAGCTCACACTGAGTGAATGAGATCCCAAGGGGACTTAGAGAGCAAGGTCTGAGCTAACACTGTGTGGCAGGGGGAGCATGACCACGTGGCTGCTGTGCTGAGGAATCGAGGGACTGCGCTGGACCGCAGCAAACCACCGGAGGGGGCAGCGCCCTCCGCAGTCCTGCCATCTGTCTGACGGATCTTTATTGGTCTAGTTGACAACATAAAGTACAAAAAATAATCTATGCCCTGGCTGGTTTGACTCAGCAGTTAGAGCGTTGGCCTGCGGACCAATGATGCGGGGGCTCGATTCTGGTGAACAGCACGGACCTCGGAAGCGGTTCGTCCCCGGCCCTGGTCGGGTTGTGCAGGAGGCAACCAGCCAGTGTGGCTCTATCACATCAATGTTTCTTTCTGTCTCACCCTCCCTCCCTCCCTCCAACTCTATCTGATGATCAATAGAAAAATAACCTCGGGTGAGGAATTAAAAAAAATAAAGTAAAAAATAATCTGAGTCGTAGATATTCTTTGTGATCCTGAAATGGTGGTGGTTGAGCAGAGTACAAAAGTTTATTAGCCCAGCCAGTGTGGCTCAGTGGACTGAGCCGCACCGTCTCATCTCCCAGCTCGACTCTCCGTCGGGGTACATGCCTGGGTGTGGGCTCAGTCCCCAGTAGGGGGTGTGCAGGAGGCAACCAGTCCATGTTTCTCTCTCTCTCTCATCAATGTTTCTCTCTCTCTCCCTTCCTCTTTCTCTAAAAAGATTTTTTTTTTTAAAGTATCATACTGTGCTTTTGGTATGTTGATGTCCTAGGTAATTTTTTTAAAGGTTTTAATTGATTGTATTGGGGTGACATTGGTTAATAAAACTATATAGGGTTCAGGTGTACAATTCTATAATAATCATCTGTATGTTGTGATACTCTAGAGAATTTTAATTTTCTTAGTGAAACTGTATGAGTCTTGACAGTGTACCTAGGAGAGTAAGTTATCACCAAGGCAGCTGCAAATGGAAGTCTGTGGTTACACCAGCATAAAATGAGGGGAGAGTAGAACTTTAATGCTTTATTGAGTTATTTGCTTTATCTTAGATGCTCTTAAGTCTTAGGCAGCATTTGAACGAATTAATTGGATGTCTAGCAGTTACTGCCATCAGAAATACCTGTCTGCTGTGCTGAGTTTTCTTTGAGATGATTCTCTAGTGTCTTTGGTGAATCACAAGAGAAACGAGCAGAACGCTGAGAAGTCTGTTTCACTTTGGTAGACCTCGGCACTCGCTGAACAGCCTTGCCACGGCCGCTAAGGAGATTGAGGAGATCCCCGCGTACCTGCCCAGTGGTGCGGCTCTGAGAGACTCGGTGCAGAGAGCCAGGGACTGGCTTCAGGAGGTGGAGGCCCTGCAGGTCGGTTTATAAAAAAGTCCTGAGTGTGTAAGAGTGTCTGTTAAGAGCAGTAATTGAAAAATGGTGAAGGGTGATATGTTGGGTTTCACTACACAGATTCAGTATTTGGTGGGCCAGATCACTAATGTTCAACTGTGTTTAGATATACTTACCCACCTGTTGTCCTGACCAGTTGGCACAAATATTTAAAGCATTTCTTAACATGAGGATCGAAGAAAAAGAGCTAAAAATTAATTTGTGAGAGAAATGTAATTTTTATAGTCTTTGACAAGCATGGTTGTTTCTGTTTGGCTTGTCAGCAACTTGGAGTTGAGGGCACCTGGAGCAGTGGGATGCAGTGGGTCTGTAGTTATGGGATTGCAAAGCCACACCAGATCTCAAAGCCCAGAAGTCTCTGCAAGTAGTGGGGACTTCAACAGGGTGCCTCTCATCCCTGCAGAAGACAGGCAACAGAATCCCTGAGCAGTTCGCACCGAGGACTCGTGACTGTGCGAGGTGCTGTGCCCACTGACTTGTCACTTAAAGAGAGGATCACAGACAGTGCGTTCTGTGACTCACCTCGCTGAATACTGGCAAGCTGTATTTGAAAAGTGGTTGATGGAGAGTGTCTTCCTTTATCTCTCTAATCGTCATAAACCAAAAGGTCTTACAGACCTATTGAGAAAAAAGATCTTTGAATTATTTTATAATTTTTATAAAATAAAAATTTAAAAATTTTAATTTATTTTAAATTAAAATTTTATAATTTATTTATATTCTTGAGTTTCGGGTTCTGGTGTTTTTTTTTTAACCATCAGATTCTAGGAATAAAATACTACCTTGCTTTCTAAACATTGGTGTCTTTTTAAGTGGTGCTACTTAATCAATTGCTAACAAGAAATGCTGGACAGGACTGTTTTATTTATTTATTTATTGTTAATCTGCACCCAAGGGTATCTTTTGCCCATTAATTTTGGTGGGGAGGGGAGCGGAGAGAGAGAGAGACACATAGATGGGTTGCCTCTTGCACGTGTCCCAACTAGGGCCTGGTATCGAACCTACAAGCCAGGTCTCTGTCCTTGGCTGGGAAGTCACCCACGGTCCTTCAGTGTGAGGTTGATGCTGACCATTGAGCAACAGTAGCCAGGGCCAGACAGTACTGTTTTTCTTTTAATCCTCATCTGAGGATATTATTCTATTTATATTCAAATAGAGTGGGAGGGAGGGAGAGAGACAAAGAGAACATGGAAGTGAGAGGGACACATCGACTGGCTGCCTCCCCCATGCCCCCAACCAGGGCCAGGGATGAATTGCAACCAAGGTACATGCCCTTGTCTGGAATCGAACCCATGACTCTTTGGTCCGTGGTCCGATGCTCTGCTCCTGAGCCAAACCAGCCAGGGCCAGTATAGTTTTAACCAGATGTTTGCAACAAAACACCTGGGCATTTATCCCAGTTAATAGGGAAGAGGCTATGTATTATTGTATGATAAATATTAATACATAATTAAAGAGTGAGCCCAGCTAGCCAGAGAATGACCAAGAAAGTCTTTACTGTGTTCGTGACCTTCCATAGTGGGAGTTTCAGATGCAGCCTTTGTCTGAATGTTGGAGCTCTGCCGATTAGTTTTCGTCATGGTCCCCTCTCACTTGTGATTGGTAGCAGCCAGAAAGGTGAGGTCATTGCAGTGAGGAGAGGTGAGCATGTGCAATCAGGAAGACAGGACATGTTTCTGGTTAGGTTTGCTCCCTTCATAGTTTGTAATGTGTATATTGCTTAGTACTATGTCTGCAATAGTGCCCATAAGGCAAAAGGCAGCTTTTGCTGCATTCCTGCAATAATAGCCTGGCCTTTTCTGACATCATATATATAAGGACTAATAGACCTGACAACAAGGAACCTCTTCACATTTAATGGATTATTCATTTAAAAGTGTTATACATGTCCTGGCTGGTTTGGCTCAGCAGTTAGAGCGTCGGCCTGTGGTCCAGAGAGACCCGGGTTCGGTTCCCGCTAAGGGCACGTACCTCGGTTGCAGTTTGTCCCCGGCCCTGGTTGGGTCGTGGGAGTGGCAACCGCTCGATGTGTTCCTTTCACGTCGATGTTTCTCTCTTTCTCCTATTCTTTCTGAACAAAAAAATGGAAAAATGGTCCTCGAGTGAGGATAATAAATAAATAAATAAAAGTGTTATCCAGTATTCTGCTTTACACATAGGAAGTACTCCATATATTTTTAAATTGAGTATCATAGGAACAGCATGTAATTTGAGTCACCTTTTTTAAGTGTCCAACTGAACATTTATGCCCTTACAGTTTCCGTCCTACAAAAACAAACATCAAAAGCATGAAACATCAGTCCACCTGGTTTATAATCAGTTTTCCCAAAAATGACCCTTATTGTTTGTTCAATCACCACACACCAAGTCTAATTGATAACATCTCTTTAAGTTTCTTTTAGTCTTGAAGGGTTCTCTTCCCCACCCTACTTCTTTTTCATGTCATTGTCCAGAAAAGTTATCCTGTGGTATGTCTGACCTTTGGGTTTTCTGCTTGTTTCTTTGTGGTGTGTTCTATCGCTTGAATTTCCTGTAAATTGGAAGTAAGCATCAAAGGCTTGGTGGATTCAAGTTAAACATTTTGGACTTGAATGTGTATGTCAGAATATCCTGTGAGCCCTGGCCGCGAGGCTCAGTTGAGCACCATCCCTTGCACGGAGAAGTTGCAGGCTTGGTTCCCGGTTGGGGCACATGCCCGGGTTTCTGGCTCCATCCCCAATAGGGGGCGTGTAGGAGGCAGCTGATCCATGTTTCTCTTTTATCGATGTTCCTCTCTCTCCCGCTCCCTTTTTCTCTCTCTAGCAATAAAAATATTTTGTGGGGGGGGAGGGAATATCCTGTGATACTGTGCACTTTATATTGCATCGTATCAGGAGACCGCAGTGATGCCAAGATTCACCACTGTGTTAACTAACCTACCCCCACTCCCACCCCATCCTTGATTCTTCTCGTTTGGGTATTTCATTCTCCAGTTACGGCCCCAGTACTAGCAGCATTGGCACCACATGGAAACTTGTTGGAGCTGCACATTCCTGGACCTTCACTGCTGCTCTGAATCAGAATATCTGGGGATGGGGCCTAGGAAATTTGAAACTAACTTTCCAGATGACTCTTAATGAGCCAGCGGACTTTCTCAATTTATGTTAGTTTCCTGAATAATTCATTCTGAGTTACTTTAATTCATCGTTAGTTGAGTGGAGTAAAATATTGTTTTGTTGCTTTTATTTATCTAAGACAGTATAAAGTTTTTGAGCTATTACAGATTTACATTTATGTTGAATTGCTTTCAGATTGTCCATGGCAACCAGTGTGACAAATGAGTTTAAAAGGGATACAATCAGGACAAAGGGGCCACAGTGTATGTCATGTTCCCAGTTGTTTCCTTGGGGGTCGAGCACAAACTAGATTCTTTAATTATTTATTAGGTGAGAAAACACCCCCCCCACCCCCACTGTCAGCTGGCGGGTTTGCTGCTGTCTGTCCGACTCTCACTGGTTGATGTCGTGGTGCAGGCCCAGTCAGAACTGGGCTTTCCCCACCTTCAGAGAAGTATCCTTTCTCCTGAGTTGCTCTAACTTTTCTTGACTCGTTAGGTTGGAGGACGTGTGCCCGTGTTAGACACACTGGTGGAACTTGTCACTCGAGGCCGCTGCATCCCAGTGCATCTGAGTTCTCTGCCGAGACTGGAGTCACTGGTGGTTGAGGTCCAGGCTTGGAAAGAATGTGCCGCTAACACATTCTTGATGGAGAATTCCCCGTACTCGCTCTTAGAGGTAAGTGTGCAGCCCTTCCTGTCCGGACGTTCCATCACTGACCCGTCTATTTGTGAGTTGTTTTTTCAGTCGAGTCAGGGAGATCCTTCTAAGTTTCTAGTGAAATAACCTTTGAGTATTTTGGGGACATAGTGAGGATGATATTCAGTGTCTAGGGAAGGGCTGCTTTTGTTGAAGTTCCTCCATCTGTGTTGAGATTGGACTTTTTCCCACTTGCATTTAGTAAGCCTGACAATGGTCCCCTCCTTTCTCATAAAGTGTTATCGCTGCACTTTTTGTATTTTTTGTAAGCTGACTCTGGTCATGTATTAGGGCTGGAATCAAAGTCGGTGCTTTGCGAGGTTTGCTTCTTTCTCCTTCCCTTTCTCCTTCCTTTGCTTTCTGAGGAGACTTCTCCGTTTCAGGGCAGCATGTCACAGATAGAATGTTAGACAGTGAGAAATGTCATCCTTCCCACGGCTCAGGTTCTTTCTTGGGCTTCTCGGTGCCGTGTCTGAAACCGTGTGCCAATGGTTGTGCCTCCCTCATTAGGTCCTGTGTCCTCGCTGTGATGTTGGCCTTTTGGGATCGAAGAGGAAGCCGAGAAAGTTAAAGGAGCCCCTGCCCAGCGGAAAGAAGAGAAGCAGCAGGCTGGAGAGTTTGAGCGACCTGGAGAGGGTCTTAGCCGAGAGCAAGGAGACAGCTGCAGCTGTGCGTATGGCCTCTCCTGTGTCTGCTGTCGGGCTGGGCAGTCCCCTGGCCTCTCCTGTGTCTGCTGTCGGGCTGGGCAGTCCCCTGGCCTCTCCTGTGTCTGCTGTCGGGCTGGGCAGTCCCCTGGCCTCTCTCCTGTGTCCTCACATTTCCATGAATATTTGGAAGGCAAGCAGAAGAATAATGATACAAATACTCAGTTTTACCAAAAAGACTTTATGGAAATTGTTGAAAGTAAAGTTTCCCATGGAAGAGGCACAGACCAGGGAGGGCGTCCCAGCACCAGTCTCAGTAGCAGCTGTGGGCGTCCTGAGCACTGACGGCCTTATATTGAGAAATACCCCTAGGGGTGTGCTGGATGCTCGGGTCTGGCCTGCGTTCAGTAAGCATTGCAGATTCAAAGATTGTCTGTCTTCAGGATGAAGCAGTACCTAGCTCGTGTTCAGTGAACACAGTGTCAGGACAGAGGGAGACAGATAGCTGTGTGATCTGGGTACTTGAAAAATTTTTTATTGAGTTATAATCAACACATAATGTATTAGTTTTAGGCGTACGGAAGCATACTTTTGATAATGTGTGTGTGTGGTGCCGTGATCACGAGAAGTCTAACACCCCTCACCGCACACAGACTTTTTTTCTCATAGGAGAATTTTTAAGATCACTTACTTACTTTGCAACTTTGGCATACTCGGTGCAGTCACCGCCCTGCACAGTGTCCTGGGCCTCGCTTGTGTTAGAGCTGGCCATCTGGGCCTCTTGGCCCTGCACCCACGTCACTCACGCACATCTGCTTCTGGCCGTCACCCATGTGTACGTGAGATTGCACTGTTTCTCTGTCTGACTGACTTCACTTAGCTCATGCCCTCAAGGTCCATCTATGTTGCAAATGGTAGGACTTCTTCTTTGTGTGTCTAATACTTGATTTATTTTATTTATATATATATGTATACATATATATATATATATGTATCTCACACACACACATCTGCCGCATTTTCTTTTTTTAATCCTCACCCAAGGATATTTTCTCAAATATTTTCAGATAGAGTGGGAGCGGGGGGGAGAGAGAGAGAGGAACATCGATGTGAGAGGGATACATTGGTTGGTTGCCTCCTGCACGACTCCTGGTCGACCCTGACCAGGGCCGGGGATGAACTGCAGCTGAGGTACGTGCCCTTGGCCGGAATCAAACCTGGGACTCTGGTTCGAGGGCTGACGCTCTAACCACTGAGCCAAACCGGCCAAGGCCTGCCACATTTTCTTTATCCAGTCATCCACGGACAGATACTTAGGTTGTCTCCGTGTCTTGACATTGTAAGTAAGGCTGCAATGAACATAGGCATGCAGATCTTTTTTTATTGATTTTTTAGAGACAGAGGGAGACAGAGATAGAAACATCTGTGTGAGAGAGACATCCATGTGCTGCCGCCTGCACGTCCCTGCTGGGGATCAAGCTCACAACCTGGCATGTACCCTGATCGGGAGTCTAACCAGGGCTTCTCAGTCCATGGGACATGCTCAATCCACTGAGCCATACCATCCGGGCCAGATATCTTTTTGAGTTAGTGTTTTTATTTCCTTTGGATGAATACCTAGAAGTGGAATCGCTGAATCATACCACAGTTCTCATTTTAATTATACGATGTGTCTCTCTCTGTACTGTTTTCCATAGTGGCTGTACCAGTTCACAACCCCATCAACAGTGTACAAGAGTTCCCTTTTCCCCACGTCGTCCTCAACACTTATTCTTTGTCTTTTCTTTGGGGGGGGGACACATCAATGTGAGAGAGATACATCATCTGGTGGCCACCCACACAACCCCAACAGGGGCCGGGGACAAACTGGAACCGAGGTACGTGCCCTTAGCAGGAACTGAACCTGGGTCTCTCTGGACCACAGGCCGATGCTCTAACCGCTGAGCCAAACTGACCAGGGTTGTGCAGAAGCTTTTTAGTTAGATGTAGTCCTACCTGGATGCTTTTAACGCACCAGGCACTGCCCATCGTAGGATAGGAACATACCTGCTACCAGACCTGCGCTGAAGGCTCCATCTTTGGGCCAGGGCACCCTCTTCCCAGTCTCTTCCTTTGTAGTTGTCTCGCCTCTTGGAATTGGCAGGGACTGCCTTGATTTGCTTCTGTATTTTGACCTGCTCTTTTGGGCATGTTTGTGCGGTCAGGTTCTTTCAGGCTCTGCTGCCTGAGCCCGTCGTGGTGTTTCCACGGTGCTCCTTGCATTGTTCTGTCTGTGGCTCGTTTCTGTGTTTGTTCTAACGCTGGCGTGCTGTGTGTTTGAGCCCCTGAACCCTCCTTTAAGGACCCGTTCGTTGCCCAGTGGTGTCCCAGCAGAGCTCTGACGGTTACGCTTTGCTAGCCTGCAGCCAGGCGCCTCACTGTCTGTGCACGGCTTCTTATCACAGAAATAAGTGGTATTTTTTTAATATGCCAAAGGTGTATTGCCTGATTTACTTCTAGATCTTTGTGTTTATTCCTCAATCCCTCACTCATACATTTTCTTCTGCAATCCAAAAAGAGATACTGAGAATGATTCTGGCCTTTGGACTCAGGGGTGTCTCATCTGGTGAGTCATGATGAGCTGGTGGGCAGGTGTGATCATTTGGAATGGTTTTAACTGTGACAAATTCACATTTTAAGGACCTGGGAATAGAATTGGGGGGAGGCGTAGTTCCTGTGGCCTGTAGCTTTTGTTTCTGGAGAGGAAAGCTCAACTGTAAACTCTGTGGCTACCTGTTGATAAGCAAAGCGGCCGGCCGAAGAAACAGTGGCCCCGCCTATGCCTGAGGAGACTGCAGGTCAGGTTGGGGTGGGGTGACCAACTTGGACTCACCGTGCTTGGCTCTAGTTGCCTTCGGACTCTGCTTGTGCTTTGCACGAGTAACAAGTCTGTCTGTGGTACCTGGACTGACCCAGGTGTCGGATGCCTGGTCTGTTGTGTGAAATTCCCACCGGACAGCTTGTAAACACTATTTGGAAATGTGCTCAGTGTCACCCCGTTTCTCAGTGAGAGGTCGAGTCTGTTCTGTGTTCTCAAGTCACCCCTGCGGGTGAACTGGACTCTGCACTTCCTGGGAGGTGGCTCTGTCCACCAGACAGGAAAGCGCGTGTGCGTGCTGCCGCTCCGTGGGGCAGCCTGCTCTTTGCCCTCGTGGTGTTCTTCGCTCTGCCGTGCCCACGAGCATATGCGTGTGTAAGGAAGGTCTGGTACAGTGGTTTCTCTTGAATTTTTCATGAGGGACTCAGGGTCGCTGTAGTTGCAGTGTCCAGCACACAGGGGCCCCCATGTTGGAGACGGCAGAGACATGCCCGCGGCTGTGTGGCAGCTGCCCCGGGAGACCTCTCGTCTGAAGCTGAACACTGGAAACAGATGGGGAACCTCAGAATCAGTGCACAATAACGTGAAGATCGGGTGCCTTTCGAGAGCAGTGAGTTTCTGGGAGATGAATGGACAAGGAAGTTAGGGTTTAAGAAGTGATGTATGTGGCCCGGGCCACTTTGGCTCAGTGGCAGAGCATCGGCCCGTGGACCAGAGTTGCAGGTTTGATTCTAATCAAGGGCACGCACCTCAGTTGTGGTTTGGTCCTTGGCCCTGATCGGGGTCATGCAGGTGGCAGCCAGTCCATGTGTCTCTCTCCCATCAATGTTTCTCTCTCTCCCTCCTACTCTGAAGAGAAAAATGGAAAAAAGTATCCTTGGGTGGAGATCGAGAAGTGGTGTGTGTGAACCTGTCCCCACCAGTGGCCTCCACTGTTGTGTCTGTGGTGGGCGCATCCTCCCTTGCGCATTGTGCGGGTGGTGTTTCGGCCACAGCACGGTGTGCCGGCCAGGGTCCCTCACTCTCAGCAAAGCCGGCCGCATGCAGTCTGCTCTGAGTCCCGCTGACACTGTCTTCGGCTGTCCGTGCCTTTCAGATGGCAGCGCTAGGGGAAGCTCGTCTGCGGGAGATGGAGGCCTTGCAGGCTCTGCGGCTTGCCAACGAGGGGAAGCTGCTGTCGCCCATCCAGGGTGCGGAGACGAAGGTCTGCCTGTGTCAGGAGGCCCCAGCAGCCCCGATGATCCAGTGCGAACTCTGCAGGGACGCTTTCCATACCAGCTGCGTGGTGGTGCCCAGTGTTGCACAAGGCCCCCGGATCTGGCTCTGCCCCCACTGCCAGAGGTCGGAGAAGCCCCCTTTGGAGAAGATCCTGCCCCTGCTGGCCTCCCTGCAGCGCATCCGCGTGCGCCTGCCTGAGGGGGACGCACTGCGCTACATGATCGAGAGGACGGTGAGCTGGCAGCACAGGGCCCGGCGCCTGCTGTCGTCTGGCAGCCTCACGCCTGCGCGTGGCCGCGTGGGCTCAGGACTGCCATGCAGCCGGGGGCAGGCCTCAGCAGGACAGGCGTCAGAGACCAGCAAGGTGAGCCCGGCCTTTCTCTGCTGGCCGTTGGAGTCAGCTCTGCTCTGTACTTGTTCCTGACTGAGCCTGTCACTCTGGTGTTGCTGGTCCTGGTGGTCACTTCCTGTTACAGTGTTCACCCTGCCTGTAGCCCCGACTTTGCGGGTCCTGTGTCTGCACCAAGGCTCTGGTTTCCTCTGCTCCTAGTGGTCGGAGCTCTCAGCAGCTCTGCTTCTCTAGAGCAGATCTCGCCTTTGCACGTGTCCGTGTAAGTTTTCCATTTATGTGTATGAACCAGATACATATTTAACACGTATGTATTTTTAAACTTTTTGCTTATTTCTTCTGTCTTCTCATGTGCGTCACTGCATAGAACAGGAGCTTGCGTCTGTCTGCTCTTGCCCGGGGGACTAGGTGGGAAGTGCCCAGGCCCTAAGTTGCTTCAGAGGAAAGGCAGCAGGTGTCACTCCACCTGCGACTCTTCAGAAGCCAGGCTCTCCTGACCGTCACTGGACGGCAGAGCTCTCTGCGCTCTCCGGGAACGAGCTGCAGGAGGAGAGGGGAGACTTGAGAAAGGTGCCGGCAGGTCCCCAGCAGGGGTGTCATAGGTCCCTGAGCTCAGTAGGGACACAGACATACAAGTTATATGAGTTCAGTGTTCAGCAGATCAGAGAGAAGGACAGAAAATCGGTCTTCAGTGTTCCTTGTTTTTAAAATTTCTGTCCAGGTTTTTGAAACATTGCCTCTCACTTGGCAGACCATCAGTTCTGTGTGTTGCCAGGTGGGTAGTGCAGTCCGGGCGCCTGCAGTGGAGACGTTCACTTTCCCTGGTGGGGTGGGCCAGGACTCTGCTGCTGTTAGTTTACCGATTCGGGGTCAAAGGGGCATTTCTCCTGGCTCCTTCCTTAGACACGGAGGGAAGGCAGGAAGGCGGGTGTGACTGATGCGCGCAGGTCCCGTCCCGATCTACGCACTGTGGTCTCCGTCAGACAGGGCGGAGGACTAGCTTCCCTGGGTGCTCTTACCTTCCGGAGTCGGTCCGAGTAAAACCAGGGGCCTGAAGGCTGACGGGATGTGCATTGATCTGGTTAGATCTCAGCTGCCAGGGACAGTTTTCAGTTGGGAAAATCAAGTGTCTCTTTCCAGTTGCCTGCCTGGTGATCGGTGCTACTGCCAGTGGGTGGGTGGGAGGGTCCTGCTCTGGGAGAGCCTGACTCGACTCTGTCTGCCTCCCTGTAGGTAGCTCAGCCCCCCGGCACAGCGTCTGTTTCCTTGCCTGGTGACCGGGACAACAGAACCTCGTCTTTGCACTCTCCCTTCGCGGCGGGACGGAGTTGCATTCCCCTCCATGGTTTGTATTTTATTATTATTTTGAGGGTTGGATGGCAACAAGTGATCTTGCAGTGGGTTTTGTTGTAGATGATCAGAATCATGACAAAGAACTGTGTCTTCAGATGTAGGAGACGGTTGCTGTGTATTTGCAAGGTAGAGAAAGATCCTGTTGGAAGGTTTATCGACGTACAGGAAACCGAGGAAATCTTTATCCATTGCCTTCGAGGTGGAAGGGTGAAGCCCACGCCAACTGAGAAAACACAGCAGAGGCTAAACGATAGGCTCCCTTGTTACTTCATTACTTAGGAGACTTGTGGGGAACACTAGAGATGAGCCCCCTGGAGCCTGCACCTTCAGTGCCTGAGCCCTGCTTGAAGCTGCAACTGGAGGCCCGCTCCCTGGGCTCTCTGTGGCTTCTATAAAGCTGTCGAGGCAGACGGACTCCTGTCCACGCTAGAGTAGTGAGTAGGGTTCCGTGTAGATGAGCCCCCTGGAGCCTGCACCTTCAGGGACCACTGCCTGAGCCCTGCTTGAAGCTGCAACTGGAGGCCCGCTCCCTGGGCTCTCTGTGGCTTCTATAAAGCTGCCGAGGCAGACGGACTCCTGTCCACGCTAGAGTAGTGAGTAGGGTTCCGTGTAGATGAGCCCCCTGGAGCCTGCACCTTCAGGGACCACTGCCTGAGCCCTGCTTGAAGCTGCAACTGGAGGCCCGCTCCCCGGGCTCTCTGTGGTTTCTATCAACGCTGCCGAGGCAGACGGACTCCTGTCCACGCTAGAGTAGTGAGTAGGGTTCCGTGTAGAATTGGTCCGTTCCTAGTCGTCACAAGACTTAGGAAATCTCGTTTGGGTTCTGTTATACTCAGTTACTTCGGGCACAGTAAGGGAACCTAAACTTAAGTGAATGTCATTTAAAAGGACACAGTGCTAGTGGCCTGACCTGCGACCCCTCTGCTGGTGTCGCAGGTCTAAGTGTGTGCGACACCTTGGTTATCAGCATTGTGACTTGGTCTGGTCTGTGACAGGTGTGAGTCCAGAAGTCAGTGAGCTGCTGATGGAAGCGCAGCTGCTCCAGGTAACCCTTCCTGAAATTCAGGAACTGTACCGGACTTTACTTGCAAAGCCAAGCCCTGCTCAGCCAGCTGATCGACGCTCACCAGTCAGACCCAGCAGTGAGAAGGCGAGTGTCTGGGAGGGTGCGGGGGGCGGGACCACGCAGTCTGGTGAGTCGAGGTGCTTTTCACCCAGAAGGGGGCAGACTCTGCCAGGAGCAGGCAGGTGCCGGGGCGACTCTGGGCTCCCAGCCTGATGCTGGGCCCGCTTTCCAGGCTCTGAATGTATTTGTTTGTTTTCCTCAGCAGGGGACATTTTTCCATTTTTTGTTCAGATAGAGTCGGAGGGGCGGGGGGGAGGAAGAGAGAGAGAGAGAAACATCGACGTGAAAGGGACACATCCAGTGGCTGCCTCCCACACGACCCAACCAGGGCCGGGGACAAACTGCAAACGAGGTACATGCTCCTAGCGGGAACCGAACCCCGGTCTCTCTGGACCGCAGGCCGACGTTCTAACCAGTGAGCCAAACTGGCCAGGGCAAGTCTCTGCATTTTTTTCTTTTTAGCAAGGTGCTTCTCACCACTTCCATGTAGCGATAGCAGGAAGCAGGGCTGTTTTCTCTGTGAGAGAGACACCATAGAGATGGAAATGCATTACAGTGGCAGGCCTTTTAGGATAAAACCTTCACAATCAGATATTCTTGGAGTTAATACTTAACATAACTTCTCTAGCCCTAGCAAGACTGCCGGTGGGAGGACTGGATGTAACTGGGGGTGTCCGTGTTGAGGGCTGACTTACTTGAAGGGGACATGGTAGAATGTTCTGTGTGTAGCTGCTACTTCTGTTAATGAAGTAACTGACCTGTGTAAGGCCCCTGATACTATAGTCAGGGTAGGGGAGAATCTCACTGAAGAACATGAAGGCAGATGTTGGCATTTAGAATTTTGTCTTTATGATGCCGGTATGGCACTGTTACACATTGACTGTGACTTGGTCTGATCTGTGACAGGTGCACCTGCTCCTCCGGGGGGGGGGGGGGGGTATGTTCTTAAAGAAGGGAGGCCTTAGCATGGTTCTCTAGAAGCGTGTAGGTCGAAGGGTAAGCAGATGCCTGGATGGAGCTCGGTGGGAGTCAGTCAGTCACTCATGGATTTGGCTGAAAGAAGGGTGGAGGCCTCTCCCCACCCCCTGTGCTGGTGGAATGATCTGGGGGTCAGTCGTGTCTGCAGCCTCTTCTCCACAGCTCCTTGGACAGCACTATGTGAGGCTGGCTGTCCTGCAGGACACGAGGGAGGTGGTGACGGTGGGTCTTGAGATGCAGGATTTCCCAGCAGGATAGGGCTCATCTGGCTTCTCTCATAGCTAATACTCGGCCTCATTAGTCTTAGTTTTAGGCAAACTGAAGGCTAAAACTGAGTTTGCTCATCTCCCGCCCAGAATGACTGCTGTCGTGAGAAACGAGATGGAATCAGCAGCCTGGAGAGGAAACTGAAGCGACGCCTGGACAGAGAAGGCCTTGCCAGGTGGGACCCAGTGAGGAAAGTGCGGACCCCCAGGAAGAAGAAAACCAAACTGAGCCACCCCAAGGACATGGACACTTTCCAGTTGGAGAGAGAGCGTAGCTGTGGATTAGTCCGCTCTGCAGAAACACATTCCCTGCCCTCAGACACATCCTACTCTGAACTGGAAGACTCTGAGGATGAAGATGCCATCTGCCCGGCTGGGAGCTGCCTGCAGCCAGAAGGAGATGAGGTCAGTGAGGTTTGGGCCTAGAGGACGAGCTTTCCCTTAACTCCGAAACCCTGTGAGCGAGCCCTCACCTCGCCAGGTCTCTTCTGCTTACCTGCTGTGAGCTGGTCTGAGTGGTTCTCAGCCTCCCCACTGGTCTCTGTGCTCTTACCATCGTTCCTGGGTCTTCTCCCTTTTCTTGAAGAAACTCTCATTCTTCCCTTTTTCCTATTCCTGCTCCTCCAGCTGTCACCGTCCCGGCGCTAAGAAGGTGGGAGGGATGCTGACGTAACGCCCTTTGCTTGCTTGGCACAGGGCGGCACTGTCTCAGTCCCAAAGCAGTCACAACTGAAGAATGGCTCTGACTCGGCTGCTTTGGCTGTTGTGCCAGAGGTCCCAGTCGCGGGCCGGCCGCTGGTGCCAATGGCTGGAATGTTCTCAGGCTGCCTGCCCAGACCTGAGTCCCCACTTTCCTCTGAAAACCCCGTCTCCCTGCTCTTTGTAACCAGGTGGACTGGGTCCAGTGTGATGGCAGCTGCAACCAGTGGTTCCATCAGGTCTGTGTTGGTGTCTCTCCAGAGATGGCAGAGAAAGAAGACTACGTCTGTGTGCGCTGCACTGGGAAGGACGCACCAAGCCGAAAATAAGCCCAAACACACCCCAGTTACTGTCATTCAGGACTCAACCAGGATTGATTCCGTTTCTCAGCAAAGCTGCAGGACTGGAGTCCAGACCAGCCTGTGAACGGTGCTATTTCTATTCCTTATGGATCATTTTTCCAGAACTCTTTGAAAAAAAGGAAAGAAAAAAAAAAAACAACTAAAAAATTTTTTGACACCTTTTGTATTTTTTTCCTTAAGAGCTATTTGTGGTTGTGGAGGTTTGAAATGCTGACTGTTTTTGCAGGTTTCCCACCCATTTGGAGGCATTGGAGCTCATACCTTTTCATGCACAGCATCAAATCTGGCCTGCCTGGGCCTCAGCGGCCACAAGTCCAACTCAGTGTCAGTGCCCAGAGGGCACCAGAAATTCCAGTTAATCCTCCTTGGAGGAATTTCTCTCTTGTTTACTGTTACCATATTGGGGAACTTAAGTTTTTCACTATTGGGGTTTTGTTTGTTTCTTTCTTTATCCACTTTTCTTTTTCCTCATAGACTAGGTTTATTTATCTGAGCAATAACTTCTATGTTGTTTCAGTGGCTGGAATTAAAACTAAACAAACTTCCAAACAGCGTGTTGGTGCTTCAGCCTGTGGCTGGCGTGCAGAAGGCAGGTGTCTGGCTCCCCGTGCTGCCGCCGAGCTGGTGACGCAGAAGGAGCTCTGAGCTGGCCGCTGCCGTGGTGGCTCGGCTTTCTCCCGCCCTCCTTCCTCTCCTGCTGCTTTGGTAGCGTGTATCCAGTGTTGCAGTTTATATTGTGAATAAATCCTTGGTCCTCCTAGAACACGAAATGCTGGTTATTTAGAGCACCAGGCTGCACCAGCCGTGGACGGTGGCCTGCAAACACCAGGGACTTGTTCTGGGTCCCGCTGCACTCCGTGGGCCCTTGCCTCCAGTCCCTGCTCATAAGGACCCTCCTCCCACACACCCACCCCCTGCCTCAGGTCTTCAGGGAATAGAAACTTACTTAAAGTCATGCTTCCTCACAATGTGGGCACATCATTCCCAGACTCAAAAATTAGTTCTCCTTGTAGAAATGACATCTTCATTGCATTTGAGTTGACAGGGAAATTTGGTGACGCGTCAGAAGGAAATCTAAGGGCTTGGAAAGTACAGGTTGAGGGAAGCTAGGGAGCACCTGGGCTCTGCATTTCCGATTTCCTTGTCTCTTCCTGACGAGTTCCCCCTGCGGGCAGCCATCCTTGCTTTCCCCTCCTTTCTTTTTCAAGGCTCTGTTCCATGTGAGGAGGGCAATGGGCACATGGAGCAGCTTCTGGCTGCCCTTCACCGTCCTGTTGCTGATGCTTGTTCCCCACATTCTGTAGCCATGACCCTGAAGGTGGTAGGACTAGTGGGTCTTGAATAAAGCGAAACAACAGAAACAGCCGTTGGTAACGTAGCAGAGATTCACACGCACTGACCCTTCATGCAGTGGACACAGACCTCTTCAAGAATGACTCCTGGCTGCCTGCGCTGCCCACAGTTGGGATGTTTCTCCTGTCTGATGGCTCCGGGGCCAACACGGAGGGCTCTCCAGAGTGCAGTCTGGAGCACTAGTGGTTTGGCCTTTTTAAATGTGCACATTCTTAGAACCCCTGGCCTTGGGACAGGATGCCATCTGTCCCCACTGCGTTGAGAGAGTGAGCTTAAAGGAAGCCTGTGCCTTCAGAGAGCTTTTGCTGTGTGGTGCGCACCTCCATGCCCCACTGGCTCTCCTTCCCCTGTAGGTCGGACACAGTCCCTGACGATGCGCTGTGGTGAGGTGGGGTCTGCCTCGCCGAGCGCAGGGAAAGGTGGGAGTGTTAGCGCCACTGATCTGTTTGTGATGATGCCGAGGTTAGAGCACCCGCTACTGATAACGTGACACGGCTCGGGCAGTGTGTTCAGTCCTGCCTTGTACACTGATACTGCCGAGGGCTGCAGAGGACGTCTACCTCACAGTCAATGGCTCTGTTTCATACCCAAGAGGACTATAGAGGGGTGTTATCTAAAAACCACGTGTGCAGTGTTAACCATGAAGCCATGCTGTATCCTAGAGAAATGCCTAGACACGGGGATCAGATAAAACACACAGCCTGACACACTTCCTTTCAGGCCTGAGGCTCTCTGAGCAAGGGGGAAAGAGGACCACTAGAGTGGAGCCTGAACCCCAAGGTCAGTGGGTAAAGAAAATCTGGTGGGTGAATGCCCCCAGCTCACCTTTCAAAATCAGACTTGGAGGATTTCTGCACTGCGGCTTCCCTGGAGGTCACCTCGAGGTGACGTGAGCGCAGCTGCCACCTGTGGCCGTGGAGGCCAGTGGGCACCTGAACTTACCCACTTGGTTCAGCCATGCAGAGCTTCAGAAAGCAAGATGTGAAGATGTTGAGATTTTGGATCTTACACTTTGGCAGGAGTATCTGAGATGCCCACCATCAGAAGCAAGCTGCCCCCCTCTGAGTATTTGTGTAGAATAAGCCCAAGAGCAGAGTCGACACCTTCCAGGAAGGAATGGACTGGGCTTCACATCCCACCTTTTGTTATGCTCCGAAGGCCCGTTTGTCATGGGTTTCTGCCTCTCTCTTTCCTGTACCCTTTGCATTCTGCTTGGGTTAGGCGTTGATTGGTGTTTAGCCGCCCATAGTTGTTTTTCTGGGCTTGGTCCTGCCAGGTTTCCTGCCATGTAGCCGATGGATGGATTATAGGTCCTATATCCCTCTAACGGGAAATAGAATTGGACAAGTACTTCAAGAATCATTGCCTGTTGTGTCAGTAACACTGCAGGTCTGCTCGGCTGGTCTTTCTCCACATGATGATGCAGCAGCTCTTCCCACGAAACTACCTGTTGGGAAGAAGGGCTGAGAACCACGGATCCAGGGTCGTTTCAGCTCCACGCACGAGTTGGGTCCTCGACTCCTGGTGAGCACCAGCACAATGGCCTCGCAGCTTTGCCGGCTCTTTTAGCCTCAGTTTCCTCTGGGAGGTGCAGTGTGGAACTTGTAACAGAAATGCTACAGACAAGCGGCCTAAACAAAACATTGTATCAAGTAGGAATTTACACAATGTAAACCTGTTGTAAATACATTTTCAAAGCTTAAAGAATCAATTTGTAAAGTGTATATTTCACTTCTGGCAGGTTTATGTAACAAGTTTTTACTGTTTCAAGGTTGCTTAAGGAGGAATGTATCTTTGTTTTTATCAGTGTAAGTGAATGTTCAAAGCCAGCCAACAACAGAACGGAGCATCCAGCCCTTCCCTGTTTTGGTTCAGGGTTCACTGTACAAGGATGAAAGGCTAGGACGTGATGAGTTTAGATACGTCTTTTGTTTTCAGGGTAACCTGCTGCATTGCGACAGAGGAATGGATGTATGAGGTCATTGATCTATTCCAGGTGAGTGGAAGCCGAAGGCTTGTTCTTCCTCCTTTCCCTTGGATGGGAAAACAAATTGAAGAATTGCCTTTCTGAGGAAACAAAGTTACTTGCTCTGTTTGAATAAGTGCCAAAGACACCCTCTCTCCCCAAGAAAATCTAGCTCCTGGCAAACGTCCCTTGTAAGCACGGACTCTGTCTGCCCTTGCCAGTACTTTTCCATAATTCTAGTAGGAACACAGACAAAATCCTTTTGCATAGGACCTGGATAGGTAGGTTGACAAAGAATGAAAAAGATACATTTAATTTAACCCAAACCTAGGTATATTCATTGAGTAAACTCTAAAATTGAGAAAAATTGTAGTCTGGAGGCCAGGGCCTTCATCCACAATGAGCATAACGCATTATCAATGTTCATCTTGGGCTTCCTTCACAATGGATGGGTTTAGACAGTGAAGGAACTTAGCTGCTTTATTATTTATTAACTGTTTTCTTTATAAGTTTCCTTTGTACCTAATTTAACTGAGTCTCATAAGCAACTTGGTCTGTTTTTTTTGGGGGGGGGTTACGTGCCCCTAGCGGGAACTGAACCCAGAACTCTGGTCTGCAGGTCGACACTCAACCGCTGAGCCAAACTGGCCAGGGCTTGGTCTGTTTTTTATATAACGTCTTTCCACACTCATTTTGTTGGTTTATGTTTTTTGTTTTTGTTTTTTATCCTCACCCGAAGATATTTTTCCATTTTTTTGTACAGATAGGGAGGGAGAGAGAGGAAGGGAGAGAGTGAGAAACATCGACGTGAAGGGATACATCGAGTGGCTGCCACCCGCACGACCAACCAGGGCCGGGGACAAACTGCAACCGAAGTACGTGCCCTTAGCGGGAACCGAACCCGGGTCTCTCCGGACCGCAGGCCGATGCTCTAACTGCTGAGCCAAACTGGCCAGGGCACATTTTGTTGGTTTATGTAATAAAACAATCACTAACAGATCAACTGTTAAACAGCAGGAACAAATCCCACTGAAGAGAAGGGGCTGCGGAGGCTTGATGGGCCCAGCCGGGGAACATGTCTAAGGAGTGCGGGCTTGGTTGGGGTTGACTGTTGGAAGCCCGGTCTAGTGCTGGCTGCTGGGCTCCTGGGAGGTGGCTGCTGTTCGGGGTGCCTGGAGCTTCTGGGGCTGCCCTGACCCACAGGCTCCTGGCACATGTGGGGTCCTGCTCTTGCTGTTCCTTAGGACGACCTCATGGCACATAGATAGGTAGTACCCTGTTTCAGTAGCGAGGTGGCCAGTGGTAGGAGAGGTGGACTTTGGAATTAGGTGAGAATGATCTGGGCCTGCTCTCTGTTCTAGGGGAGAGCCCGTCTGGGTTGGCTTTGCTGGTTGTCTCACAGGCTCTGTGGGTCTTGCACTGAGCCAATGGGCCCCAGCATTGTGAACCTGCTTCCTGCCTCTGTCCCTGCCCACACCTTCCCTTGACCCCAGACAGAGTGGGGAAATGTGGCTTGTGGCCCAGGTTGTGAGGTGCTCCTTGAAATCCAGCAGCCATCGTCAGCCTGGAGGTGGCCACAGCCCCACAGGCACAGGTCCTTAAGGGTCCTCCTCACCCAGGCTGAGAATGGGTGGCCAGTGCCCTGTGTTCTGTAGCAGTGCTGGCCTAACCAGGTACCACTGTGCGCCCTCAATTAGGCCCTTTCACAAGAGGAGGTACGACCTGGGCCTCGGCCTGCCCTGGAAGGCACAGAGGTGGCAGCCAGTGCCCAGCCTGATTCAGTCTCCTCTCCCGCCTGCTCCACTGCACCGTCCCTCCCCCTCGTGAAAGAAATTGGTAAGGCGTAGAGTGAACAACTGGGAGTGGGGCCTGTGTCCAGGGAGCAGGGTCAGTGTGGAGATGGACTGAGATGCTCTGCCTGGTGGAAAGCTGTCCGCTTGGCCTCATTTCCACGGAGCACGTCCAGAGCCTGGCTGCAGGCGGTTCTGGCTGCCACTCCAGGCTTGGCCACCAGAGGGTGTCATGGAACCGGTTTCTGTAAGAGCCGCGGGTCTTTCTGCCACAAGGGGGATTTGTCCAGCTTGGACTGGCCATTTAGAGGGAAGTACTAGAATTAGGCCGTCTTCAATGTTTGTAGGAGTTACAGGGCTCCACCCCTTCCTTTCACACCACCTTCCCCAAGTTTGGTTTTTATAAATAGGTTTATGGGAAGAGTGGAGATTAGAGACAAAGGTCCTTTGGGTGCCAGGAGGCCACGGGGAAAGGCTGACCCTGATCAGAGGTCGATGTGCTGCCCCCAGGGCGGCCTCATTAGAGAAGGGCCAACAGGACCTGCAGGAGGGCTGCTAGTGCTCAGGGAACACTGATCATCCGCCCAGAA